ACAAATGCAAAGGAGTTGTGAACCTTCGATGAGTAGTGTCATCAGTCAACGGATGTTCTGGCGTACTAAATGTGAGATTCACGGATGCATCTACACTTGGCCTGTTCATGGGAGTCCGACTGGATGAGGCGGAGGCTGAACTCGTCGCGACATGTTCAGTCAAGCTCAGTGGCCCTGGGCGTACTGTGACCTGGAACCCGTCACCTGGTCTCATGGCATGTTGTGGGCGTAGGGAATGGGGTATTTCATCCCAGCCAAATGTGATAGTACATGGGTGGTATCTACACATGCTGACAGCGTCTGCAGCCAGGATGACATCGAAACCACTAATGAAATCTGCAAAGGAATAAGCGACAGAAAACAGCTCAAAACTATCCAATTGTTCAGGCATGACTGTCACCAAACCGGGGAATCGATCCATGTGCAGGGACTGAGTCAAGATGGCATCCACCAAAACGAAACTGTGTCTATTCGTTCTGGGTGGGTCAGGTGTAACAATGGACACTTCAAACCAATCATTAGGGTCAATCTGGTCAACCCAAATGGAGGTGAACTGTTGCTCCCAGGTGTGTGGCGGGCCCACCAATTGCAAAATTCGGGGAGCGGTCCATCGCCGCACGGTCAGGTGGTCCAAGTACCACGTTCGAATGGGAATCTCAAAATCGCCATCAAAAACTTCAAAACCCAGTTGCATAAATCTCTCTCTGAGGTGACGCAAAAAGGGTGGGTCTGCCGCAAGATCAGGGGGCACATGATCGTCCTGGTCCTCATCATCATCTGTGTCACCGTTTTGGGGCATCCACCCAAGAGGGTTTTCATGTTCTCTCCTACATTGGGTGATGCAATGTAAAGGTGAAATTGAGACGTGAGGCAAATGTTTTGAGTTCTCATGGCATGACTCATGAATAATCCTGGACCAACCTCTTGAAGGGACATGACTTCCCCCAACCTCCGGGTGGGACAGGTGCTTTGGATTACTCTGTGCACTGTGTTGGTCAAAACTGCTGAATGTTTCGGAGTGGCTGCGGGTGTGATGCTTACCACCATGGCCTACCTCATCACCCATTGTCAGCGACCATGGTTTGTCATTCATTTGCAAAGAGTCTTCATGTATGTGGATCTTGTGGAATTTCCACTGCTCATCACATCCAATGTACAAATCAATTTCGCTGCAGAAATGAACTTTGTCCTTCGGCTGGGTTTGACGCAAAGGAGGTTTAAATCTGCATGACGTGATCTTGAGCGGTTTCCCAAGAAGCATGTGAGGCTTCGCAACAACATGACTTGCAGGGGCATGCACACGGTGGTCACTAGGAAAAATTGGATGGACATGCGGGTTCCCTCTCTGTACAGCAGCGGAAATGATCAAATGGCTATCGGCAGGGTCCAAAATGTGATCAAAACTTGGGTCCCTTAGTTCATTGCACCTGGCCAGGTCTGAGTGTTGACGATCCACTCGATCACACCTACTACCTGGGACGGGATCACTGTCTTCGCAGTGATGACAAATTTCGGTGCTAGGGCGCATTTGATTCGGGGGCTGCTCAAAAGAAAATGAGTGGCTCTTCTTCTGAGAGCTACATAGGTCAAAATCGACATCTAACATGTTGGCTTCAGCATCTTTATACAGACCTTGATCTACCGGGTACTGTACAGATTGTGAGCAACAGGCAGAAACGGCATGACTCGCAGTGGCACTGCAGTCTCCTACGGACTTGATAGCTGACGGATACAAAGCAAACTCCTGTGCCAAATGAAATGCCCTGTCGGCAGCAGACCACTCATCGACAAAATCGTTTTCAAACAAAACGGAGTGGTTCCACTTCAGAGCTGGGTTAAAAACGCTCTGATCGGTCCCGTGAGGAGATGCATCCAAAACTGTCGCCCCTGAGGCTGGACGATACAATGTTGCCCCTGATACGCTGTTGGTGGGCAGCCCATGAGCAATACACGTGGCAAAGGTATTCACTCGGGCCCCCCAAAAGAAGGAGCTTTTCCATCGTCTGCGTGGCCTGCACCTGCCTCCGGCACAGACATCCTCGGGCGTTTTCGCTGTTGGTCCTGCTCGACCTCCAGCTGCACGGCTTGTTCTGCTTGTTTGTGCAAGGCTTGGAGACTTGATGCAAGGTCCTGAAAACTTGCCGCAATCTTCTGACCTGCAGAAGTCTCTGCATCCCTGAGCTCTGTGTCCTCTGTGTCGCTCATGGCAGCAGAGTCGTCCTTGGAGTCCAGTCCGGCGGAGGCCTTGCACGCACCAAGGTTGTCCTTGGCTGCTCCCAAGTTTTCCTGCGCAACCTTGAGGCGGTCCATCAACTGGCGTTCTTGCTGCATGAACTGCTCTGTATATTTGGACCATTGATCCACTGATTGCGCTAGGAAGTTCTTCCATGCCGCATGCATCTGTAGACGTGCGGCCTGAGCTTCCTGGAGCTCTTTCTTCGCTCTTCCATGCTGCGACACCGCAGAATGAAGGATTTTCGTTTCCTCCTGCCCACTGCGGACAGTGGCCTCTTTGACCAGGGCTTGCACATCCTCCGGCAACTCGTCCTTGTGCCGCCTCAAAGCAGCGACCAACGATCTCATATGTCGGTCTTTCTCCTTCTCTTCTTTGCTGTCGACGTTGCCAGCGTTGTTCTGAATCAAGGTGGAGGATGGAGTTGATGGAGGTGGAACTGTTCCAGACATCCAAGGTGGATCCAGCGACGGCAAAGCAGGTGAGAGCTGAGGCCCATAACTTGGCTGCTCCTCTTTGGCCTTGCCCTTGCTTTTTCCCTTGCCGGCCTGTTGTTTTGCAGCCGGTCTGTTGGACCTTCTCCTTGGGGACTGGCGCCTTCGTGGAGATTGTATCCATTGAGAGGCGTTCCAATCTTCTTCTGCATTCCACTGATTCTGCTTCCACTGCACTTGTCGTTGAGATGGTCTGTGAACCGGTGGCACAAAATCTGGGTCTGAACATGACCTCCAGGATTGACCACATTGTGCACAGCATTCGTGTTGGCCCGAGCATATCCTCCTGCACGTCAAACATTTCCATGGTTCCACTGCCAAATTCGCCATTTCTTGCGATAAGAGGGCAATGAACGTCGGATCTTGAGAATGGTGCTTCTGTAGCTTCTGCTTGATGTTTTTGATTTTCTGTGGAGACAGGACTTGAATCCCTTTCCGGTGCAAAAACCACTGACGCCTGGCCGCTGCACGGCCGCGCCTGAGCGCTCGCCTTCTCGTTGAAATGGCCGTTTTGCAAGGGCACAAAAATCAACTCAAGGTGGTCGGTCTGGAATTGCACAAAATCAGAAATCGAAATCGAAATAATCAATGTACACACAAGGACAAGGAGAATTGAGCACATCCACCTGCAAGGCAAAGCGAGATGAAACACAACACTGTCCCAGCCTGTAAATCGGTGTAAGGCCACCGCAGAGCCAGCAAAAGGATTGTATCCACTGTCGGCCAGTGCAGAGCCAGTAAATGAAAAATTGCAAATCCCAAAGTTGTAAGAATCACTGTCGGCCAGTGCAGAGCCAGAAAATTGAACCCACGAATTGCAAATTTCCACAAAAATCAAAAATCACTGTTAGGCCAGTGCAGAACCAGACAGAGCAATGTACAAAACCTCTGTTGATCGGAGCAGTGCCAGTGATGAGAATTGAAATTTGAACCAATGTCACTGTAGGCCAGTGCAGAGCCAGTAGGTGAAGGCCAGGATGGAGAGACAGCGGTAGAAAATCAATACCAACCGTTCAAGTCCAAAAAAGCCAAAGCTGAACCCTGACCAGCAAAGCAACCCCGGCAGCAAATTGAACTGCAGAGACGGGGAGCGAAAGGTTTCGAGCACAACCTCGAAACCCGTGGGGCCTCCAAGGTCCCACTCAGGCAATGGCGCCAAACAAGCCGAACAGTCACGAACCGGGTGGCTAGTTTGGGCCAGAACCTTGAAGGATGACACATCCCATATGTGAAATGGATTGAAACGGAAAATAAAAGCCATGTTCCAAACCACCAAAACCACCAACCAGCAGTTAAGTGACAGTTATGACCGAGGAATCTAAGTTGGCTGAACAGTTGGAACGTTTTTGAAGAGCTCAGAGCTCGGCCTCCGTAGGCAGTCCATGGAGTCCTTGACATTCTCCACGTCCTAACGCCGTTGAGAACTTTCTCCCCGGCCGCTAGGCCGCTAGCGGCTTCTGTTAAAAAAAGGCGTGCTTCGCTCAATCCTGTCATTCCACATCTTTCCACATCTATTTGACAAAAAAAGATTTGACTCCTTGCCACTTTGCCAAACTGGTGTCTTGATTGCCAAACTGATCAAACACTCGGCTCAGCCCATAAAAACCAGAATCTTTTTGAGTCGCACAGTGGCACAGTGTCATGCGGCTCATGCGCCTTAGTGATGTGAAAGTGGAACGACACAACGGGAGATCGTGGTTAAGTGGTTAAGACTAAGTCTGACTAAGTCAGCTAAGTTTGGCTACCGCTTCATAGGGTTGCAGTAGCGCAAGCAGTGAAGTGATTCGGGGACTGACCGCAGTTTTTTCCGCTATCGACTGATCTTTGCAGTCCCACGGAGTGCCTCTGGAGCAGGACACAAAAAAAACAAAGGCCAATTTTATGCCCCAAATCATGGATACTGGATACTTATGTATCATATGGATACTTGATGGTGCTTGGCTCATTGCTTAACATGTTGTGAAACAAAGACGTGTTCCATCAATCCACAAGCATCAGACTGGATCCACCGGACATGGTTGACATAGCGTCGACTTGGTCGACACGAGTGTCCTCCCATTTTGGGAGGCTCGCGGCTCGCGCATTTCGCTGAACATGTGTTTTTGAGGGTAAGAGTCATGATCAAATGTACCTCCATCAAGGGAACCGAAACAAAACATGATTCAGCCCACAGGACATGCAAGGCTGCAATAGGGAAAGGAAGGAAAATTGCAGAACATGAGTCTTGCAGTGCTGCAAGAGCTTTGGACTACCAGGTTCAGGTTGTTCGCTTCCTATTCAACATGGTCAAGCACATCACCACTGATGTCGGCTGTCAGGTCCCCACCACTGGCCAGTTCTGTACCCTCGCCATCAACCACGCCTTGGGCGCAAGCAAAAAGCACAACATGACGAGCAGGTGAGCAGTCAAAAACATGATAGAACAATTCTTAATGTTAAAATATATGTTATTGTATGTTGTTGTTATATAATAGTTACAATAGGCCATACTGACCCATCCACCCCTCTCCTGCATCGTCAATGGTACCACTTTCAAGGTCGCTTGGAACAGTGTCGATGCCAAGCAGATCATGATCCGCGTCTACGACCACTCCGCCATCCTGGGCTTCTCCAAAGAGACACAGCACATAGACATCGCATGCATAACACATGCTGAAGATTTTTTTTCACACTGACTCCATTGATCTCAACATATCTCAACTATGTCGCTGGTCCACACCTGCAAACCGTCACCACTGACCACTTCGCCATCCATGGCATCGCTGTCGATGACACTTCCCACAGTGCCATCGCCGTCAGTCACGCTGTCATCAACCTGGCACAAATCCGGAGTCAAGCTACTTTTATGCATGAAATGCATTGAAATACATGGAAATACATGGAAATAATTACATGGAAATACATGGAAATTCTGGCCGTGAAAGTGGCACAACTATCCCAACTGATTCACTTTTGATTCGGTTTTGATGGGATGCTCCACTCGCCTCACAACCGAGAGTGTAATGATTGCAGCAGAACTGCTTCTTTGAGTCCGACCAACCCGCCCTTGGTTGCCATCAACAGATGCTACGAACCGAAACATACAGAAATCACAGAACAGACAAAACTGCTAGTGTTCAAGTCCGTGCACACTGTGGTCTCAGTCACAGCTTTTGGCCAAGCATCCTCCAGTTTTGGATTCCAGCGGAGCAATCATAGCTGCCATAGTCTTGATAGTCTTGGCTTGCATGAGTTCCATAAACCTTTGAGCGGCCCAAGTTGGCCCAAGGAATAAGTAGAACAGATAGAACAGGTCCAAAAGGTCCGATCGCAGTTCGTCACCAGAATCACGTGATCCAAATGTCCAAATCGTTGCCGATCGCACCGGAGAAGTCTACGACGAGTCCAAAAACATCGCGTGATCCAAAAGTGATCCAAATCGACTGAAAATCCCAGGAACGACGTGCGTTACGTGCGGTAAATCTCCACAGGCGATGTGATGATGATCACAGCAGAAATGCCTTGGCAACAAACTCGCTAGAAATTGCCGCGCAGCATTGGCAAGTCGCTTAGTTTCAGCATGTTTCAGCAAACTCAAATAGAGTCAGGCCAAATGAAAAATCAGACTCTATATAGTCTATGCATATATCTCTGCGGTCAACACAGCTCATAGTTTGAATCCTCGTCGGCAAGTAGCTCTATCATCATTCCTACCATTCCTACCATTCCTACCATTCCTATTCCTCCCGCTACATCTTCGTTTCACGGCCGCGCCTGTGGGCATGAGACCAGGCCGACCATGTCGAAGACCAGCAATTGTACTCTGTCCTGGCAACAAATCACAGGTCGTTGCCCAAAACAATGCACCCGTTGCACTGTGGCATGTTTGGGCATAAAATGTTGCAAACGTTGCATCGCCGCATACAGCGTCGCCTTCATCACAAAACTCTGAGACCCGGACATCTCATGCGCTGGCTCTGTGCTCCATTCTTCTTGGTGGCAGGCGAGATTGAACACTTTTGAAAACGTTCAACCCGTTCAACCTTGAACGCAATGACCATAGAATCATAGAGTTCACTGGATTCGGTTTAGATTCTAACCTCTTGCCAACATTCCTGAACTTGAGCAAGTCGAGATATGGTAAGAACTTCTCATCTGTCGAAAATGCTGTATTCCGCTAAGGAACCATGTACCACATGCACAGGGTGCACATGGTGCACATGGTGCATGTGATGGATGTGGTGCTCCACATAGACAGGCACCGGAGCAGGCACGGGAACTTTCACAGGAACTTGTACAACATGAGATATGACAGGCACATCCTGTTCCTGGCAGCAACTCAAGCCAAGACGAGTTCCACTTTCTCGTTCATGTCTAATTTTTTTGGCGTGTGTTGCATCAATTCAATTTGTTCATTGTGGCCTCATCTTGGCATGCCCGGCTTGCATGGACACAGCACCATTCTTGTTTTTCCAGAGACCATTGCGAATGCCACTGGTTGAAACCTTAGATTCGTTGCGGTCGACAGCTCTCTTTTTGCAACTGTCCAAATCAGATCCGCCAAGCAGCCATCTTCACAGTCGAAAGGCTCCGGCTGATCGCATCCACGATGTAAACGTCCACCTTTTGTTCGAAAAGATGAAAAACGAAATGCATTTTTGCAATGTCCGGGTCGATGTTTCACAGGGTCGATGTTCATGTTTCGGTGTTCTGCTGTCGCTCAGCTCCGTTTTCGGAAAAGGAGTTTGTGGCGAGTCCTTGAGGCAGTGGCAGCACCAAGCCTGCCATGCGAAGACAACCAGTCACATGATACATGTGATGCAGAGACGTGTCATATATGTATAGATTATAATATATATACATATACATATACATATACATATACATATACATATACATATATACATATACATATACATATACATGTATACATATACATATACATATACATATACATATACATGTATACATATATATACATATACATATACATATACATATACATATATGTATATATATATACACATATATTCATATTTTTTGGCAGAGACACACAGAAGCGATACATATATATATATGTATATATATAGATAGATATACACATACCATGCATAATAATGCATAATTCGATCCTATACTCATTGCAACTTGATTTCAACAAACTGCACATATGGAGAATTAAAACCAGGATTAAGTCTGAATTCTACATCGGTTTTTTTTCCTTGAGTTGTTGGGTTACAAAAATACTATCATTTACATGATTAAAAAAACGGTTACGGTATGTTTGTGTTGATTCCCGAATCCATTCCAGGTGGGCGTCATTTCTCTTGTGAGGTGGCCTCAAGCAACTTTGGCGAGAAGCTTTGAGCGTCAGAGCTTAGCTCTGACTTCGATCAAGGACAAATGACTTCAAATTTATATAAACTTATTACATTTTGTTGGAGATGTTGGAAATCTGAGTCGTTTGTCATCCAGTTGCCATTGGCCTGTAGACACTGTTTCTCTCCAGAAAAACACTTCAGAGGAAGCTGTTTTGAACACTTAGTGCAGTTTTTTATCGTGGCATCGCCAAAAAACTGCAACTTCATGATCACCCTGAAATCACCTGAAATCGCTGAAGTCCCTTCGGAATCAGTTCCTCCGGGTCCAATGGCTGTGCAGTGTTTCTACTTTGAGCGAATCAGCGGGATCATCGTGGGAAACGTGATTCAACGCATGGAAAGCGGACCCAGCGAAGCATGGCCGCCTGGCCAACACTATCATGAACGCAAAATTCCAAATTTGACTCTGATGCATTCTTCCCCTGGATGTTGACACCAGTGAAAGTGGCCTAGTGTCTGAATCACAAAGCCCCTGCCACAGCCCGCTTCAAGGTATTAACCTCAGAGCATAGTTTCATTTCATCTGGAAAAGAAACCTAGCAACCCGCGAATGCAGGAAAAAACTAAGAAAAAACTGGAAAGGGAAAAACACAAAAATTCTTCCAAGCGGCACATCTTGGAATGCAGAAGGACATGGTACAGCAAATGAAGCTAAAACTCATCCACAGCAATGCACCAGAAAGGCTATGGCGGTAGGCCTCACAGGAACCGGCCCACGGATCGAGTCACGAGTCTTCAACGTTTTTTTAACACATACCAGCAGTACCCGCACCAGGGGCGGAAGTTGCCTTAGGGTTATACTATAAGACTTTTCTCATCCATAGAACTTGCATGCGCCGTGCGCCGGCCAGGCCGTGCGTGCGTGCCTGCTTGTGCGACGGTCATGCACTGCTCCAAAGGACTTGAAACTCCACACTTCACACTGCACTCTTCACACTTCACACTTCACAGTTCGCACTTGCACTTCACACTCCACACTTCATCTCATCTCGTCTCATCTGATCTCTTCTCACCTCATCTCAGCTCTTCTCCTCTCATCTCATCTCATCTCTTCTCACTTGTCATCTAAGTTCTTCTCAACTGCTCAACCTGAGCACTGCTCAACCTTTCTCATCTCATCGAAGCTCCCCTCAACTCATCTTAGCTCTTCTGCATGTCACAAAGTTGGTCTTACTGCCAGAGAGAAGTCTCTTGCACACAAAAGTCAATGGGCAGAGAAGCTTTTGCACACAGAAGTTTGAGACACAGATGCGTTTACACGGAAAAGCCTTTACACACAGAAAGCTTCTGCACATGAGAAGCGTTTACACACAGCACGCTTTTACGCACACACAGCATTTTTTTTACACACAGCCAGCTGGTACACACAGAAAGCTTTTACACAAAGAGCTTTTACACACAGCAGGCTTTTACACACAGCACACTTTTACACAAAGTTTTTACACACAGCATTTTTTTACACAGAAAAGCTTTTGCACACAGCAGCTTTTACACAGAGAATCTTCTACACGCAGCAAGCTTTTACACAGACAAGCCTTTAGAGACAGACTTGTTTACACACGGAAGTTTTTACACAGAGAAGCTTTTACACACAGAAGCTCTTACACACAGAAATTTTTACGTACTGGTTTGCGAAAGGCATTTCCCAGTGCCGCTTTGTACTACAAAGCTTGCACAAAGTACTTCCCAGTACTACTTTGTACTACAAAGTTTGCACGCAGCACTTCCCAGTATTTCTGTGTATTACAAAATTTGCACAAAGTAGGTCCCAGTATACCACTGTGTTCTACAAAGCTTGCACCAAGTACTTCCCAGTACTACTTCATACTGCACAGCTTGCACAAAGTACTTCCCAGTACTACTTCGGACTACAAAGCTTGCACAAAATAATTCCTAGTACTACTTTGTACTACAAAGCTTGCGCAAAGCACTTCCCAGTACTACTTTGTACTACAAAGCTTGCACAAAGTACTCCCCAGTACCACTTTGTACCACAAGGCTTGCACATAGTACTTCCCAGCACTACTTTGCACTAAAAAGCTTGCACTTTGTACTACAAAGCTTGCACAAAGTACTTCCCAATAGACGCCAAGCTTTTACACACAGCAAGCTTTTTCCACACAGCATCTTTTTACACACAGCATTTCAAGCAGAGAAGCTTTGACACAAAGAAAGCCTTTACACACGGCAAGTTTTTACACACAGAAGGCTTTTCACACAGCAAGCTTTTAGAGAAAGAAGTTTTTACACAGAGAAGCTCTCTTGTAACTCCAAAACCGGATCTCGGCGCCAAAGCGAAAAAAGGACGATTTTGAAGCACTTTTTAAAAGAAATTTCGAAAAGGAAAATCACCAGCGCCAAAATCAAGAAAATCTACTGACAAATCACCATCGCAACCTTGATGCAGCCACTCCAATACGATTTGCAATGTCCAGCTGCAAAAGACAATGGTATTACGCATGCAGCCGCGGCACCAGGCAACCTTGACGTAGCCATTACAATGCAATATCGAGATATTGAATTGCAAAATATCTCGGTGCCAAAGAGAAAAAAGGACGATTTTGAAGCACTTTTTAAAAGGATTTTTAAAAAGAAAATCACTGGCGCCAAAATGGAGAAAATCTGCTGACAAATCACTGTCGCAGCCTTCATGCAGCCACTCCAATACGATTTACGAAGTCCAGCTGCAAAAGACGATAGCATTACGCATGCAGCTGCGGCAGCAAGCAACCTTGACGCAGTCATGGCAGTGCGATCCGGAACCAGAGATTCAACAAGCGCACAGAACTACGCACGCATGAACAACCACACGTTGCAGAACACCAAGGGAGAACCGATTCGCACCCGGAACGGTCGCAGCCGCAACCGCCGCACACACAAGGTACCCTTCATCGCCGCCTGCAGCCACTTTGTACGGCAAAACACAAGGTTTTGTGCTCCGGCTTCCTCCCCAAAGCAAACCCCATGCAACAGTCATGCAGCCATTACAATGCGTTTTGCAGCATCACGTGTCTAACCCCCATGTCTCGACACACATGGCAACAAAACGTGACAACAATCATGCAGCCATGACACTGCGATCTGCAAGCACAGATTCCAAAACTGCCTATAACTACGGACATATAACAACCACACGTTGCAGAACACCAAGGGAGAACCGATTTGCGCCCGGAACGGTCGCAGCCGCAACCGCCGCACACACAAGGTACCCTTCATCGCCGCCTGCAGCCACTTTGTACGGCAAAACACAAGGTTTCGTGCTCCGGCTTCCTCCCCAAAGCAAACCCCATGCAACAGTCATGCAGCCATTACAATGCGTTTTGCAGCATCACGTGTCTAACCCGCATGTCTCGACACACAACAAAACGTGACGCAAGCACGGATTCCAAAACACCTTACAACTACGAACACATGAGCAACCGCACGTTGCAGAACGCCAAGGGAGAACCGATTCGCGCCCGGAACGATCGAAGCCGCAACCGCGGCACAGACAAGGTACCCTTCATCGCCACCTGCAGCCACTTGGCACGGAAAAAACCAAGGTTTCGCGCTCCGGCTTCCTCCAAAAAAAACCATGCAACATTCATGTGGCCATTGCACAATGCGTTTTGCAGCACCACGCACGCATTCATGCGGGCATTACACTGCGATTGGCATCCACACGTTGCAGAACACCATGGAAGAACCGATTACATGTTGAAACGATGAAAGCCGCATCCGCCTCCCGGAGCTGCCCTTCATCGCCGGCTGCAGCCACTTTACCAGCAAAAACGGTAGGCTTCGTGTCACCACTTCCCTAGGTCACCACTTCCCTTTGTCACCACTGCCCTAGGGTCATCACTTCCCTCAGTCACCACCCTTCGTCACCACCCTTCGTCGCCAATTCCCCTTAGTCACCACTTCCGCTCATCACCACTGCCCTGGGTACTGCTTCCCTAAGTCACCACTTCCCAAAGTCACCATATTCCCTTCATCATCACTTCCCTAGGTCACCACCCTTCGTCACCATATTCCCTTCGTCATCACTTCCCTAGGTCACCACCCTTCGTCACCATATTCCCTTCGTCACCACCCTTCGTCATAGTCACCACTTCCCTTGATGTATTGTTATGTTGTTCTGTGATGTTAAAGTCTCACACCACCCTTCATGATGTATTGTTATGTGATGTAATGTCGCTTGAATAAAAGTCATCCGTAACTCGGAAGATTGCTTCCCCACTTCCTTTGATTTCATGCGTGTTTTTGCCAAATGAGTCAAGCTCCTCTTGTCTGCAACGTGTGACCTATGTATAGCCTACACTATGCCAAGCTGCAAATCTGGATGTGATAAAGCCGACGGTGTAAAGCGCAACGAACACCAAGAACAACACGAAGGACTGCCTCAAAAGCTCGATTTGTCCAAGGTTTTCCGGAATCTGATGGAAAATCTGACACCGAGCAACAGCCAGTTCACGAGTCGGCCCCTCCACCAAGGCATTGCAAAGTGCTCGGTCAACCAAAGGCAGATCTTCAGCATGAAGAGAAACCAGAAAACCTTCGCATTGCACATGCAAAATCATGCAAAATTTACATTCGCGTATGTACATATATATATATGATGTATATATGATGTATATAATGAGGGGCGGTTTCTGGGGAAATCATCAATGGTTTCTGAAAAAGGTGAAGCAAAAAGCTGAGGAACATAGAATCCAAGCGCTGAGCCCAAAAACTCACTGGCTATGCACTCAAAGGTTGCTTGCGCCTGACGGAAATACAGTGCTGCCTGCCGTGTATCCGTGGTATTCAATCCGAAATTCATTGAGTTGTCAAGTCCTCCAGCATTTTCAGCTCCAAACACAGCCAACCCAGACCTGAACTACCGCGACCTATACCTGGAACCCAAGACCCTTGAAGGTCAGCCATTCAGCCCAAGACCCAAACCTACGACTCAGCATCGACAAAGAACTCAAGAACTGAACCCTGACAGGTCAGTTATGCGTCATCCGATGCCAACATGTGCCTTCATCATCGCTGAGACATGGTTCATGCTGGCAGCAAACGTAGCAGAACTGAGCATCATGAAATACCTTGGTCTGGCCGTCTGGCCAGGGCCAAAGCGACTTCGAACTGGTACAGTCGCAAAACACTTCGGAGAAGCGAGAAACAAAGCCCAAAAGAGTCAAAACATGTTATAAAGACTCCTGGGTTTTGAAAACCCATGAGTGATTTTTCTTGATTATGACTAATAGATACTAATAGTTCATAGCATAGTATATAGTAGTCATAATTGGCTATGATCCATAATACTCCATCACGATCATGACTAAAAATGGTATCATAATCATAATGACTAATGAGTACTAATGGTTATTTAACCATAATAGTTTATAAACAGTTTATAATTAACTACTTGAGGCCGGGGGTGGATGACGAAAGCTAGCGGGGTAGGAGAAAGAAGGAAGGGAAGACGTATCTTCAATGCCAGCAGGATGATGATGAGGAGGAGGATGATCAGGATGAGGAAAAGAACATGATGATGCTGATGCTGATGCTGATGGTGATGATGATGATGATGATGCTCATGATGTGATGATGATGATGATGATGATGATGATACTGATGATGATGAAGAAGATGAAGATGAAGATGATGATGATGATGATGCTCATGATGATGATGATGATGGTGATGATGATGATGATGATGATGAGGCTGCGGCAGCTGATCGGGATGATGATGAGGACGAGGGTGCTAAGGATGTGGAGATGATGATGATGATGGTGGTGGTGATGATGATGATGATGGTGATGATGATGATGATGCTGATGATGATGATGATGATGGTGATGGTGGTGGGGTGTGGGGTGGGGTGGGGGGGGACCCCTTTCACGTGAAAAATCACGTGATGTCCTTGAGCAGCCCCCTGAATACTTGCTAAAGCAAGAAGACTCCAGCTAGCTGACGCTAGCTTTCGTGATTAGTCGGTTAACTAATGATTATTGTGCTATGGTTACTAATTATGGCTTTGTAATAGTTTATAGCAGTTTTATAAACTGTTTTATAGTACTACCCTCTGGTAAATTACCATAGACCCTGAAAATAGCCTAATTTTAATGGAAACTAATCTTCCAACCCCTATCTGCCAGGGTCTATGTCAATTTACCAGAGGGTAGTGGGTTTATAAACCATAAAATTCAGTTTTTATCCAATTGCTTCGCGGCGCCCAAAGGGCACGTAGGTCGCGCCCTGGAGCATCAGCTCTTCACGCAGTGGACCCCGGACATAGCGCATGAAGGCCTCCTTGCCTCGAAGATTTGGCGACGTGAAAAACCAAGGGAAAAAACACTTCAAAACGGGGAAAAAGGGGATGAGTATCGAAAATATGAGAAATGACAAGCTTCTATGAGATATTCTGAGATATTCTTAGATATCAGAAGTCATTAGATTCTTTTCTGACTGGTGGTAATTCAAAGGATGTCAGAAAAACGACGAATCCAACCCAGCGGGAAATAACAGGAGCGGCGAACGTTGCGGCGAAGCTTCACGGCATCCCAAGGCGATTTTGCGAGACACGAACGTGGCGTTGAAGAGAGATGAAGAAAGATTAAGAAAGATTATAATATGTACATTATATATATATATAAATCATAATATATATATATATAATTATCATAATATATATCATTATATATAATATGAAATATGAATCAAGAGGAAACTGGGAGCCAACTTGAGACATTGGAAGTCTGTGTGCAGATTGGCTCAGCTGCTTGGAATATCTTGGAATTAGATTCCTTTGAGCACTTTTCTGTGCTTTTCTGCGCAATGCATGTAGCCATGGGAGACATCGCGACGTCAAAATTCAATATGTTCCCGATTTGCCCTTTGGACTAGGCCTTCATGCTTTTAATCTAGTTTGAATGTCAAGCAAACAACACAGAAAGACTCTGGTGCTACAAATCCCACAGGAACCGCCCAGTGACCCAATGGATCATTTTCCTGTTCATAGAATTAGCCAAACCCAGTGAGCACCCCATGAATTCTCAGAGAATTGACCCTAATTAGCCACAAGAGTACAACAAGACAATTCAACGAGTTCAACGAGTACAGTGGCTGCTCGGCGTGGCTGGTCATGGCTGGTCGCCATGGCGCCTCTCGTCCAAGCTGCTTCCGTACCACTTCACAATGGCGCTGTGGACAAAGCTCCGGTCAAAGGCTGTTCGACAGAAGGCTTTCTCCAGGTCCTGAGGACATCTGATGACCGGGGGATATGACCGGCTTGCCGTGCTGCAAGTGCTGCAAGTGCTGCGGCCGTGCTGCAAGTGACACTGAAGATCTGTCTGACTGACTTCAGATGCCAAGATTATCCAAGATTAGCCAAGATTCAAAATCCTTCAGATCCGACAGGAGCTTAAACTTCTCCCTGATGTTCCATCTTAGGAAGTGGACTATCACGAAGACAGGTGTCAGCCTCACGTCTGGGCATATCTCATATCTGGCCAAGTCTGCCCCAGTGTGGAGCGAACAGAAGATGAATTCCAAGCTTAGTGGACATAGAAGATAGCTTTCCCACATTTTCCCACTATGTCTTGCGACAAGTTTCCAATTCTAAATGAGTAAGTTTCCCATACAAGTTATCGCACCCGATAGATCTACTGTATAACGCTGTATAACGCTGTCATCATTGTCATCTGTCGTGAAAAAGCTGCGCGAGAGTAGAGTTGGATGCAGAAGTGAGACCCAGAAAGGTCCGAACTCATGCAGCTGGGCAAGCCGCGTCGTTGCTGCACAACTCTTTTCTACTTATTTGCACGTTTTCACAAGTTTTTACAAGCGTTGTTTTTACTATAGTTAAGCTTTACAAGTTTTTACAAGTTTTAAGTTTTACAAGTTTTGCTATAGTCGCTGCTCCAGTTGTGTTCTTGGTAATCGTCTTTGCAGTGTGGTCTGTAGTCCATTTAGCACTCAATCAAAGCATTGAGGGAAAAGCTTTGATTCACTCACGCACTTATTCACTCAGCTGACACACTTCTCAATCACTCATTTTCTCAGCGAATTGGTCAAACATTTGCGTCAAGATTCCTCAAGTACAAACTTTTCCGCTTTCACTGGCTCTCTGGCTTTCACTCACTGAAGCATTGAATGGAATCGCCAATCCTCTTCCAGCTCTCTATTTAAAAGGTTTCTGATCCTTCAGACTTCTGCCCCTCCCACCAACTGTTGGTGCTTGCGCCATGTGTGATCAACAGCTGCTATCTATTCTGGGACTGTACATGCCCTCTGAGCAAAGCAGGGTTCTTGCAGAATCAAGCATGAAGCTAGAATGACTCAAACTCATTGCAAAGCATGCATATCAATATAATATGTATATACATATATATGTTTACTCATCAATTGTCGTGCTGCTGAAAGTGCACTGCAGAATGTCTCGCTTTTTCCATTCAGCCCACACTAGCGTGAGATAGTGCGCCAGAAAAGGATGCCGCAGGATGATCGCAGGAATTCGCCGGTGCATAAAAGGCCAGAACAAAAGACAGAGTAATCATTCGCCAGTTCTAGCAAAGCACCAGGATTTCAATTGAACACAAACGGCATCACAGGCACTAGCAGCTATGCCATACCAGGGTCAGCATGAGGGAGGTGGGGGGGCCTCGAAAGGCTGCAGCCCCAATCCATTCACAAACATCCCTGGCATGTTTACTCATCAATTGTCGTGCTGCTGAAAGTGCACTGCAGAATGTCTCGCTTTTTCCATTCAGCCCACACTAGCGTGAGATAGTGCGCCAGAAAAGGATGCCGCAGGATGATCGCAGGAATTCGCCGGTGCATAAAAGGCCAGAACAAAAGACAGAGTAATCATTCGCCAGTTCTAGCAAAGCACCAGGATTTCAATTGAACACAAACGGCATCACAGGCACTAGCAGCTATGCCATACCACTCATAGTGCGAGCCAGTCCGGGTGAAGAAAGGACGCGCTCGGAACATCACAAGCCTAGATGTTGCGTCAAAAGCCCGTGGTTAGGAGACTGCTGCAGGGAGGAAAGAGAAAAGTTTAGCAAGCTCAAGAATAAGCTTCCTGACATCTCCTGGAAGGCCGGCAAAACAGTTCAAGGCGGCAGTCTCCTGGAGGTATGCCTCTAATGTGGTTTGAGATCTCAAACGAATACACCACAGTATATCCTGCACTGGTTTTCCAGCTCTATATGCCCATACGGCGAACCCACCTCTTAGCCCACCTGGAGTGATCCGAACATCTTCGGGAATCTTCAAGGCAGCCAGCAGCAAATCCCATCGCTTCCTATATTGATAGGGGGACGAATCGAAAAGCTTCTCGTCAGTGCCTAAATTCTTGAAGACAACATGTAAGTATTTGCAAGCATCTTCAGACACTATACGCATATGCTGCACTTTTGCTGGTTGCCTGAGCATGGACTTGAATCTCCGAAGCCTCAAAAAGATAGGGGAAAAGCCTCCTTCCATAAGGTCACTTGGCAGAATCAAATCTTCACGGAACGCTTGCAAAATCTCACCAACTCTACCTCCCCCGTAAAAGGCAATCAAAGTAGCACAAGCCCAAGAGCTCCATCCAAAAACCCAAGCAAGCACGACCATAGACTTCATGAGCTGTTCAGGAATAGGAATTCTATGTTGGGTGGGTTCTTGGGCTTCCCATCTCGCAACAAAATCCCACGCAGGCTGCATAAAAGGCCGCGCTAACGGTTTCCATCGTTGCACAACAAGCAGTAAGTGTCTAAAATTGCTTAAACTCCCCTTCTGTTGAAAGGATATGTCACCATGTGAGCGCAAGAGGAGAACTAAAGCTTGTGGGCATCGGTCAAAGAGCTCCTCGCAAGAAATACTATGAATTTCGCTCATGCACCATTCAATGAATTTTTGAAGCAATCTTGCTTCCATGGCCATGGTAGCCGCCGAAAGCAGCGGCAGCTCAGCCAAGGATTTTCTTTCAGCTTGAACGAAACGAGGTCCTGGATTAGCGGCCTCGCCAATTCTGACAGACTTGCTACGCGCACATCCAGTGATGTTCAATTTCTTTTCGTCACACCATCCTGCATGCACGCAACATGAAATTGCCAGAAGCTTAGCAAACCCACGTGGATACGGCTCAGCAACAGAGGTCCAAGATTTAGCATGTAGAGGGCTGAATCCTCTGAGCTGCTGATGAACACGGTTACCACAGGAACACATCATTCTCAAACCAGCCAAAAGTGTATTGCAAGCCACACGCGTATTTTTCTTCCACCGGGTTCCAAATCTGCAGTAGGACAAGCGAAAAAGCTCACGACTGTCTGGTGATGAATACGCTTGCCAACCCCGCTGTATCCAAATGAAAGAAGTGTCTGGATTCTCACACCAAAAAGCAATATTCAAAGCAATGGCTATTCCTATGACCTTGATGTAAAAATCCGCATGTGCATTGCCCTCCTTGACTTTCTGCCGCATTGTTGCAGTGATTCCATGAAGCCCCCTAGGCCAGCGTCTAGACCTAACGGCCGGAGTGACAGCCCTGCTAAAAGAAGCACAAATCGGTGCCATCCCGACTGACTTGAAGGCACCCAGCTCTAGCAACTTCAACAACAGTTCTTGAAGCGCGGGATCCAGAAGATTTTCCCTTTGGCTGCGTTTGATATCAAAAGTCAAGACCCACGGGGCGCCCGCTTGAACCATTTGCTTGGCAACCCCATAGTTTCCCGAAAACAAATCTAACGCACCAGGTTCAGAAAAATTTTCAAAATCCTTGTTGAAAAAGAACTGCTTGTCATCAAAGTGGGCACGCAACAGATAAACTGCTTCCTCCCACTTACTATAAAAGGGGGGCCCTCAACAGGCTGAGGCACGCTAGTGTCGGAGCTCTCCATCGTTTCCTGCGACGTTTGCAGCTCGATCTTCTCAGCTGCAGCAACATGTTTGTCTTTCATTTCTTTGACTAGGCGTCTTCTGGCTGTTGGCTTCTTCAAATGAGTCATAGTTTGCAAATCAACCGGTCCATCTCCATTGAGCAGATGAAACGGCAACTCATGCTGAAAAGATCCCCCATTTGCATCAAGCCAAACATCCAACTCCTGCAGAAAAGCTTCTTGATCATCCAGGTTAAACCAATCGGGAAGTTCTCTATCAGGAGGCTGTGGTGAGGCATCTCTGGTTGGCCCATCAGCACGGTTGATCTTGGAAGAAAAATACATGTAAGCAGCATAAATTCCACCGCCCAGAGGATATGGCAAAGAAGCTTTAAGCAACCTGTTGATCCCCGGGGACGAGCTCCGTCCCTTAGTCAAAGCACCCAGACATACTTGAGAGTCCAGAGCAAAGGGCACTCGTCTAAACGGTCTTTCAACTGCACACCTGCGTTCTTCTCGTAAATGAGCTTTCGCTTCCAAAAGGTTGATATGCTGCGGTTGTGAGACATGCGATCTCCAGACTTCTTTGAAATGGAGACCACGAGCACAAAGTTCCCACAAAGGATGAGTTGTATAAGGGTCCTCCACTTCTTCATCACATTCAAGCAGGTCATGTTGCTTTCACCAAGCAGCCTCGGCTGACAGCAGCTTGCTCCATCGCCCTTTGTTCAGACTAGTCCGGCACAGCTCTTGACATACATACCAAGGAACTGCCGCTTCAACGCCAGCCATTGCATCGAGAGACGCATCAGTTGCTATCAGCACCGAACTGAACTCACAGCGCAAATCCACCGCCGCCAGAGGTGCCAACGCTGCAACGCAGCACAGTTCGTCGATCATGGCACTAGACAACCTGATGACTGCATTCTGTTGGCTAAAGGACAGCGCGTCAAAAATGACGTCCAGCAAGCAAAATAGCCTTCTGCGAGGTCCCAAAAGAGCAATCCAACTGCCAGCCAAACTCTCAAGCAAACCTGTCGTCGCCATACCCAACATAGCAACTCGCATGGTGATGAACATGGTTGCCCACAACCTAGTGGAAGAAGCCCGCAACAAGCCTAACTTCCCATCAATTTCGATGCCCCAAAAACGACCAAGCCGGCAGTTGTTGAACCTCTTCTTTTCATTTGTCTCAAGCCCAGCAGCGGCATAACCCTCGCGGGCTCGAGCAAGCCTCCGGTCCGCTTCAGTGCCCATTGTACCTGATTCAATGTCTTCCAAATTGCTGCGCAAGCATTGTTCCAAGACAACCAGGTCGTCAATGATGACCCCCACCTGCAACAAGCCTCTAGGCAATGGAGAACGTAGAGTTAATAACTCCTGCACCCTGGCCACCTCATAGCGTAGACACAAGGCTGTATGTGCACACTGAGCGAACTCACAAGCAAGACTATCACCCATGGCCAGCGAAGACAATGCTACCCACACCGGCTCTTCAGGCCAAACAAAATCAGATCCAAAAACAACTCTCGCCTCAGCAATCGTCAAAGGGTCAGACAAAATGTTGCGCCAGATTCGTTGCTCATCAGATTTGAATTGGTAAAAGTAATCTCTGAGATCTTCACCTGAACTGAGCAAAACTTTGTCATCTGAGATATAGATGCCGCTCAAAGTGGCAGCGTTGGCCATAGCTTGGACCCACCTGCTTTGCTTGTATTCCAACAAGTTCGGAGCTCTTGCGTCCAAAACCGTTCTGTCTCTGGTCAAGTCCTTGGGGACAGCAAACAACCCCGAAGTGAAAGCGCCACGCTTATACTGCACCAGCACCGGCTGAAGTCTTCCCGACTCAGCCAATTTCTGATAAACAAGCACGCGGTTCTCAGCAGAGGCATAGACCTTCACCTTCGGGACCTCACCGTCATAAGCCAGGAAATCATCGCAATGTTCCAAGGGTTTTTGGTACAAAGCACAAGTGAATTCATCAAAAAATGGAGCAGGATCAAATTTTGGCGGCCCTGGGAAAACCAGACGCTCAGCGATCAAAGGCTTCGCAGTGACATCCTGAGCGACATCCAGAGTTCCCTCATAGTGGCCGATCCGGTTAGAGACTTTCCCATCACGGGAACCAGTCACACCAGAAGCGAAATAACTCTTCTCCCCCTCCTTCAAAAATGCAGCTGCTCTAGCTAAGGCCCCAATCGACTTCTCCAAACCTTCAATCTTCGAAGCCGCGCGGCCCATGAAAGCAGCATCAACACTCAGGGGAGTGCATCCGTCAACACAAAGGTAAGAAAGATATTTTACTGCAGACCATTGCCTAGCCAATAACCTGTTGCCCAAAGCCAAGCACGAAGGAGCAGCCTTAGGACAGCCTAATGCCAGCCAATTCAAGCAAACAACTTGCATTGAGACCAGGCGCTTCAAATCATCCCGGTTCCCAGAGCCACGCTTGCCGGACTTGCAAAAGACCTCAGGATAAGGAAGAGGCATCGGCCAAACACTGTACCTTGATTGAGACGTAGACATAGAACTTGAATGTCGGGGCAAAGAAAGAATGGAAAGCAAAAAACTCCGCAAAGTTCCAGATGTCTTCAGAAACCATCGGGGCAATGAATTCATCAAAGCAGAAATCCGAACTGTTGTAGCACCGGCACCAGGAAGCTTCAAACCGCCCTGATGCCCATGATCACCAACGTTGCCAGACTGCGGAGCAGGCGCTCCACTTGTAAGGACCTGCTCCTTCTGCTCATCCTTCATGCAGTAGTTTCGGCCCCGGCCTTCGCTTTGGCCTTGGCCTTTGCCTTTCGTTTGTTGGACTCGGAGTCTTCCTCGCCCTCCTTCTTGCTCTTTCCCAAATTCTTGCGACGGGTCACAAACTCCTCCTGCTCCTTGAGATGGGACATGGCCACTTCAACCTTGGATCCAGCAACTTTGAATAAGGACTTTCGCCCTCGATGACATTGGGGAGCTTGTGTTGCTCCAGAGCTGTCATCGGGGGGCCGGGCTCCAAACCTAACTCGCTGGCCAGATACCATGAGCCTCTGTCGATGGCGCTTTGATCGAACTGAAGCATCAACACAGCTAATCTGGCTCGAGCATGTTCTGGTTTCTGATTTGCTAAGCAGTCTAGAGCTCCTGCCACCCCCCAGGCTGCATGTGCTAAGGTCCGATAGCTGGAAATCCTGGATCGATGCTCCATCCAAGCTCGGCATGAAAACGATGGAGCTGTCACCCCGGGCACCAGAGTTTGAGAGGAGATGTCCTCCCACATCAAGCGTTCTATGCATTGATAAATCTCCGCAGGATGTTCGTGCAGCATCGATCTGAGAGCTCTTCTGGCTGCAGCGGATCTCTTCCCAGTTCCTAGGCCACCACCTTCTGAAGAAGGACCGGACCCAACATGGTCCAATGCAGAATCCAACTTGCTCGCTCCCAATTTCTTCTTGTCCTCGGCCAATGTCGCCACTATTGACGTAAGTTTCGTCAGAGCTTCTTGCATAGGATCCGTGCCGCCAGCAGTGGGCGAACCACCTTCTGACTCCTCCTCTTCTTCGGCTTCGTCCTCGGAAAGTGGATTTGGCTGAATCTTGGGATTCAAATCTCCTAACTTGGCTCCTTTGGGATTCGCCGCCACCAATTTGCTCATTTGCCCCAAAACATCTGGGTCTATGCCAGCTTGAAGGGCCGCTTGAACTACATCCTGCGCCAAATGAGGAAACGCACTGGCGCTGGAGGTTTCTTTCTGAGCAGGTTTCCTCAAAGCCGGCTTCCGAGTTGGGACCGCTGCAGCATCCTTGCCTGATTTTGCAGAAGAAGATCTCGGGCCATAAGTCTGAACAGGGATTCTCCCACTCTGATGGGCCTCCATCAACTGTTTCATATTCTGTGCCATATCCTCGATATAGCTCTCCAAGCGGCTGACCCTGGACGATACGTCGGCTGATCCAGGCTCGTCGTGGCCATTCACCACCTCCGCCGCATCTGGAAAACCATCGGTAGCAGAGAAAAAGGAAAAGTGCTCGTTGGCTGCTTCGGCCAATGCTTGAGCATGAGGAAGACAAAACTCCGCCCCTTCGGCTTGAAACGTGTACTCCGCATCGAATTCGACTTGCAGAAAATCCACTTGCGAAACAACCTCTGCCTTGAGGTAACCTGCCCACATGGGAATCATCACACCATCCATCACGGTTTCGCGATCCTCCACCCCACATGCAGACGTCTCGATGGCTGTAACTTTGGACAGACATCCAGCTGGTAAAACTCGTTGTGCTGTTTTCCTATGCCAAGCCGATTTGGGCACTCCAACAAGGACTTTGCCCTCAAACTCAGCAATGAAAATGATCTGAACTCTGGGATTGTGCGCCAGTGAAGTAATGGTCAAAAGCCCCACCGGATATGAATTAGCTATTGCAGATTCGGCAACCACGTAGGGGCTATCTGTATCCGCAAATTGTTCCTGGATCCAGCTAGTCATCAATCTGGCCGACGTAGCTCAAACCAGCAGCTGAGATCGCAACACTGCACTCTGCCTGAGAAGGGAGACCAACGAAGACCGAGTCCCCGACCGCAGAGCCACGCTTCACCAAAGCACACGCCGCACGCCAAGTGCGGAAGATCTTTGGGGGATTGTAAGTCTCCCCGTCAATGCCACGGCAAACAATCCAGAATCGCGAAGCCAAATTGTTTCGCTCCCTGCCAGAATTGCCACGATGATCCCCTCTGAGAGCTTTTGCCAGAAAAGCACCAACTTCACGAGCAATAGCCTCTCGTTCAGCCCAGGGCTGAACCTCACGAGTCTGGTTAGCACGCCCCTCAGGTCCACGTGACACGGCTGGCTCGGGAGTGGTTGAAGCAGAAGGAGCCGAAGTAGTATGCAGAGCCGGTGAGTTCACAACACTGGCGTTCACACTAGAATTAGCACCCCTAGACACCAACCTCCTCAAACGTGCCACTTCTTCTTGCAACACCGATACCTCTTCTCTCAAATCACTCAATGCCCTCAACTCAACAATCTCACTTTGCATTTAATGATCTTGTAAATTGGTTTCGCCACCCGCCTAGACTCTGAAGCAGTCTGTGCAGCAGCTGTAGTAGCAATCCAGGTTTGCAGCGCCCAACGCAGAGTCAATAGAAACTCAATCACAGCGCACAGCAAAACTCCACAAAAGAGCCCCAGAGCAAATGAAAACCACGAAAAGGAAGAATTGGGTTGCAATGCCTGGCACAAAGTATATGGGTCTGGTCGGTCAATCCAATTAAGGGCTTTCAGTGCCACAGCCAGTGAAGAAGCTGACGCAACACCGGCGGAGATGGGCTGCATTCGAGCCCCTCGAAAGGCTGCAGCCCCAATCCATTCACAAACATCCCTGGCATATATATAGAGATTGCAAAGGATTCCGAAGTATTGCAAAGCAGACAAAATCTATACGTGAAGTCATTGAAAAATCAAGCCAGATTTTAAACCAATCAAAGACCTATGACTTCGATGTCCAAGCTTCGCCAGCAGCTCCAACAAGCTAAATGCCTCGACAGAGTCGACAGAGTCGACAGTCTGTTCCCAGTCTGTTCCCCGCTGAAAGCTGCAGCTACACTATGAGTATCTATTAGAAACTATTTGATTGACACTATTAGTATGTTATTATATGTTAGTATGAGTATCTATTAGATTCTATTAGATTCTATCACAAGTCTTCATTCTTCGTGATTCCTCTTGTATGCCTTCTTCAGACTAGTTTACACTTATTTGATCGTCGTCACTCTATGTCACTCTTTAGATGTGTCTGGCCTTTCAGCTTCTTTACATGGTCTGCATCTGCACCAGTTTCTTTGATCTTGACCACCACAATTCGGAAAGGAGGAGCCAAATGTGGCCTGGCCTGGCCCTGGCTGATATTGAAAACAAGTCCAAGCCAAAAAAGAAATGCTGCAAAGTAGGTGCCCAACCTTAGCACCAAAAGCAGTGGAAACATGTGGAAACATGTGGAAACACGAAAAACGTCGCGACACCTCCAGTTTTCTGATGCACTCGAATCATCACGGAATATCACGGCAAGGCACATGAGGCCCATCATACCTCGCTCCACAAAGAGTGGCTTTAGCGATATCTTCCCATTTGGATTGGCTGAGCGGTAAGCTGCCAGCTCAAAAACACACCTGAAAGCGTAATCACAAAGCGTAAAAAACGTAAACATCTGCAGCTTCATTGTGATCAATTGTGATCAATTGTGATCTTTGGTCATTCATAACAGCTTTCCTATGCTTTCTCAAGAGGAATGTGCTGCATGGCCACTTGAAACATCTTGAAACAGCTAACCTCTGACAGAGAGCGGCCACGAGCCAGTCGTCCTAGTCGTCCTACGAAGGAGTCGAGCGGCCACAGACGCGAGAGGTAGGGCGTGCTCCAAAGCACTCGAAGCTCTTTGGCCACCGAAAGGAAGCCACCTAGGCCATAGATCCCACGTTCCATCAACTCCTACGCCACGTAACGCGCCACATCAAACACAACTCGCGCCACACAGAATCTCACACCGAATCTGACACTTGTGACACCAACGCCGTAACGCCCTGGAAGATGAGTATCTCGAAATGTTGCAACATGTTGCAAAATATGGAAAAAAAGGATGTTGCAAGACCTCAAGGGAGACCACGCGACACAACATGGGAAAACATGGGAACGTCGGGAAACATGTCATCTCCCGGTGCCGTCTCACCGTCTCCTGGTCAGTCTGGTGGATGGAGACCACATCGAGGAAGCACATTTTGGGTTTGGACAAACTGTTCACGTAGGGCGACAGCAAGAGACCCATCCAGGTGCCCAAAAAGCCCGCCAGCATTGGCCAGAAAAAGAAGTGGACTTCACCCTGCCACGAATTCAGCCACGAAAAAAAACAACCGAGAGTCCAAAAAGGACTCAAAAGTATCTTTCAAACAAACAAGACATGCAGATGTCAACATGAACTTCGATATACTTCGATTCTATGTCAACATGTCAACATGGCATTGATAAGAAGACACAATGCACACTGTCTGCGGAGTACATTTGGAGGATGTCGATCTGGCGGCATGGGCCACTGCGTCAGGCCTTGAAGCAGAACATCTCCACCTCTGTCCTCAAGCGACATCAAGTGACACAGGTGGCACAGCAAGTGCTTTCTCGAAATTCCAGCTGCTGAAGTAGTCTGAAGTTATCTGAAGTAATCTCTTAGCTTATGTCACCTTAATGTCACCTTAATGTCACCTTAATGTCACCTGAGGTGACTCTGTGGAAGAAGCAACGCCGCCTGAAGGGCATGGGGAGCACATCTTGGATGATAAGGATGTCGGCGATGATTATAGAAAGCAGCCAGCAACACAGCGCGAATTTCCAACCAGATTGGAAGAGAAGCGACACCACTTTGTGCCTGAAAGAAAACATCACAAAACAATGACCTGTGAAAGTGTCGCAGCGAAAGTGAAAAAACGCAGCTGTGCAAAAAGCTGTGCAAAAAGCTGTGCAAAAATGCAGCTTTTTGCAATGCTAGGCCTGCCGGGCGTCAGCCAAGTGTGCGATAGAAAGATGTCGAAGTTCTCCACTGGGGCAGAGCGAGTCCAGAGCTTCTCTCGCTCCTAACGACATGCAGCTGCAGCTTCAAACCGCTCAAGGCAACAAATAAAAAAAACAACTGCACCAAGTGCCAGGATGTCCGAGTGATGTCTTCAGGATGTTCCATGCTTTTCAAACACAAACTGTTCACACCTCAAGTTGTTGCACCTCTGTGAGATGTCAGTGTCCTGCTCCGGCATGTCAAGGGGCGACTTGCGCCAAAGCTTCCCTCCACTGTGCAATGAGGCACTCAATGAGATCCCCCGAAGAATCTCCTTGTCAACCTGCCCGTGCCAGCCCGTGCCACATTCAATTTTGTTGGTGAAGCAACTAGCCACCTGTCGGAAAGGTGTTCATTGATAATCATTGTGCGTTCTGGCGTTGTTTTGAAACATTCGCACTATCCAAATTTTCTCTGTGTTCAAGAGAAATCCTGGCTCTGCTGCCTGACCCTTTATCCCATTTCTTCCATCAGCACTTCATGTCATGATTCGAAACAGAGATTCTCCAAATTTGCTCATTCCGTATCGTCGTTCTGAGACATTCCCATTCTTCCCATTCTTCCCATTCTTCCCATTCTTCCCATTCTTCCCATTCTTCCCATTCTTCCCATTCTTCCCATTCCCCATCACCCTCGGTGTCCACGGTGTCACCCGGTGTCACCTCCAAAACATCCATATTTTGCAGTCTGCTCAACTTGCTTGGGGAGGCATCGGCACGAGGCGATGCAGGCACGATTGTAATCGTTGGAACTGGAGCTTCCGGAGATGCTTCGTCCTGACACCACACAAAGCATCTAGCACCATGCGTTGAAGCAGTTGAAGCATGATGGATTCATGCATGATCTGCATGTAAAACGGATTCATTATTTGCATGCATCTTCTCAAACGACTTTCTTCCTTATCTGAGTCAACTGAAACACTTAAAAGTCTCCGGGCCAACAAATCCAACACTGGGCAAGAACGATGTTCCATTTCAATCAGTTAAGAAACAGCTAGGGGGGCCTCACTCTCTGCGTCGCGATGCCACGCTGTCACTTCTACTGGGACAGCAGGATTCTCTTCATGGCAGCAGCCATTGCAGTTTCCCATTGCAGATGATCAAAGTGGGCCTTGAAAGCCTTGAAAGCCTTGAAAGCCTTGAAAGCCTTGAAAGCCTTGAAAGCCTTGAAAGCCTTGAAAGCCTTGAAAGCTTCAGCCAATTGTGTTGCCTCCATGTTCACGTGTGTTGTGAGTTTGTGTGTGTGTTGTGCGCGTGTTTCCATATGTTTCGGTGTTGTGAGTTCTTCCTTTTCTCCTTGATTAAACAGCCATTGGCACGCGTGGCACTGGATTGGACCAACTGCCAAACGGCTGCGACAAATCAACATACACAGAATCTTCCCAGCCCTGGTCAACACAGACAAAACAGATTGAAATCCCAAAAGTATGCGCTTCTTGTGCTATTTGTGCGCCATCTTGGAGTCTCTTGGACTGACTTTGAGTTTCAAAGGGATGAAAATTGGATTCAAAGGCTTCATATTTGTTACCTATAGGCCATCACATGCCGTTGCCCCTCAATATTCTGCACCTTCTTGTCCGTGGACCATGTCTTTTGCCAAGTGGTATATCCGGCATCACAGTCGTAGACGACCTTGCCATAAAGAGCTCTGCTTTTAACACAGGCAATCTGACGTAGTCAACTGGGTGCTCAGTTTGTGGCAGGATGTGGACAGGCAACATCGTATCGCTTGCAGCACCAATACCTTAGAAGCAGGTATTGGTAAAAAAATGCTGAATGATTCCAACTGACTGGCATGGTATGAATAGATCGGAGAGGTCTCAGATCCTTTTCTTTAAACCCGAGCATCTTCTTGTGATCGCTCCATCCATTCTGCCAGTTTGTCACCTTGAAAAGGGATGAAAAGTGAGATTTTCGGGGAGACTCACAGAACACTTGGAAACGGCCTAGTAGCGAATAAATATCATTGCAAAGCAACAAACAAAAGGACATTGACATGACATGTAGAAATGGATTGAGAGGATTGAATACAAGCATTTCTGATAGAAAGCACAGACTCTTAGACTTTTGTCAGTCCCAAGTCTGTTTCGTCGTGAGCCCTGAGGTCAAAACGCCGGCTCGGCAATCGTAAGGTTCGTCAGCTTCACAGCCTTTATCCTGAGCACAGAGGAAACGTAACGTCGTTTCTAAAAAGGTCTGTCTTCCAACACCGTCGAATTCCGAACTTGGAAGTACTTGGAAGTACTTGTTTTGAAATCCAGCTTCTAACCTACGACTTCCATATTTCAATCGGAGACTAAAAAGGACTTGCATAATCACAGCAAACCAAGTGTGACAAATTTGCGAACAAGCATCGTGCCCGTGCAACACCATTCCTTCTTGTCAGCACTCCAATCGCCCTGCGACATTTTTTCGAAAGTTTTGGGGTTCCACATGGTTCCACATGGTTCCACATGGTTCCACCTTTCTTTTGCCAAGGATCATCTTTCACTCTACAGGATCTTGCACTATTTAGACTATCAAACTCAACAAATTTGTTCTCTGACTGTGCCTGGGTGCCACTGCAGTCAAACTCCTTGGCTCCTGAAAGCTGCAGCACACGGACATGTCGCCGGCGTATCGTTGTGAAATGTCGCCACAAGGATCAAATCTGGGCTACATCGGCTCCGTGATCAGGACAGCCACCATCAAAGTTGCAGCAGAACTTCTTCTTTTCCTGGCAGAATTCTCGCAGCAGGAACCCAACCGGAACCCAACCGGAACCAGAGTTGAAATGCACACCCTGGATCTGGTGAAATGGTCCCCAATTGTTTCACTGTAGTTTTTTGGTGCGAGAACCCCCACACGTTTCCAACACGAAAGACAGGAAGAGCACTACTTAGAAGCAGAATGACTACAGAGGAAGGTGATCAAAATACATTAAAATCGCAGATTAAGTAAAAGTATTTCTGTGGCATTTCAGGTTTTTGTCTGCTGTTGCTGCCAACCTTGAAAAATGCCACAACAGCAACTCTAAAATTGCTGCTGTTTTGTGACTCTAAACTTTTGATGAGTTCAGCCCCCCTCAAACATGCAGTACATCTTGCTGGATCAATTGTCACAATGGCATTCGAATTCGTTTCCAGGTGCCTCTGACCACGCAGCCTGCCAATTTGCTCTTGCTGCGTTGCAGTCAAACCTCAGGTTGCCATGCCATTTAAGTGCTCTCCACACAGAAAACTGAGCACAGCTTGAGTCATCTGAATCGCCATGACTTTCCAAGCAGCGGTGCTGCTGCACATCCGTGGCCCACAACGCCACAGCAGTACGCCTTCTTCTCGTCGGTCCAAAAGGCTTCCCAGTGCTCCAACTCCACCGAGCAGTCGAACCTGGAGACATCTGGAGACCCGGGAGACCCAGCTTCGTCAAGGAGTTGAAATGCCTTGAAATATGTTGAAAGATTTCACAGAGTTTCACAGAGTTTCACAGAGTTTCACACTGCTTAGCATAGTTTAGCATTACTTAGCATTGCTTCGCTTCTTGACTTCTTGCCATAGTCTGATAAAACAATCTGTCATAGTATTTGTGACATGTTTGAATTTGACACATGCGATGAGAAAGCGTCTTGTTGCACACTGTCTTGCAGTCGAGGCTCGATAGACCTGTGACGTGGAAATGGACAACCAATGAATGTCCCAGACATACGGACACTAAACTTCGAAAGGGGAGATGACAGAACAAAACGAGAGAAACTTCAATAAGCTCAAAATGAAAAAAGTGAGCACTGGTCCGCAAACCCATTGTGCTTGCCAAACTATACATCATCTTGTCAGGTTTTTTTTGACTGGGAAACCAGATGAAAGCAGTAAGCTGCAATGCTAAAGAAACAGGAAGCAAGTTGTGTCTTTTGCATCTCCCTCTTGTGCGAGAGCGGACCCATACCCGTATCACCACGGCGGCCTGAGACATCTGAATGGCCTCTGCTCGGCGAGAAAAGAAACGACCTCGCCAGGATCTGGCGGAAAGCGGTGCTCAGTTTGCTCTGCGGCTTAAGATCTACATATATATCTATAATATATATATATATATACTGGTATAATTATGATTAATTATGTAATAATATGTAATATGTATTATTATACACTAATATTGTTGCTCTAAAAATTGCTTATGTCTGTGTATAGCATGTCAACTTCGCCTTGACACACTTCAAACTGAAGCCATCTATGGTGCAGCCCTCGTTTAAGCCCTCGTTTCCTGTTCTACGGTCCCATGACCGGCATCTCCTTACGAAATTCGGGTCACCATACTGACCGTACTCCACTCCCGACGCAGCGCCGCACCCGAACATGGCATAAGCCACGGCGAGTGCAGTAGCTATCAGCACCAAGAAGCAAAGGCACAGGCCTCGGCGCAACACTGAGGACACCTTGATACAATGTTTGCTAGACAGCTCCATAATGCTTCAGCATTAGGGTTCGCAAACACCACTGATCCTACTGAACATATTGAAAGTATTTGAAAGTGTATTACTGTAAAACTAGAGAAACTGTAGAACAAAAGTGTCAAACTTTTTTGGGACTGGGTCCTTGATGGATCTTGGACTCAAAACAGCGCGTCGTACGCACCAAGTTGTGCTGAGTTGCTGGTCCACCGACAACGCCAACCAGCTGGGAGGACCTCCCGATCCCACGAGCCACGACCCTGGCGGAGACCGCAACGCAACCGTAAAACACCATGGACAGAACCCATTTTTTGCAGCCGAGTTTTGAGAGGGAAAGGACCAGAAAAAGTGAGGAAAAAAAAAGGAGTTTCAGAAGTTTCAGAAGTTTCAGAAGTCAGTGACGGAAGGCTCATGCGGCTCATGGCGCTATGCGCTCTGAAGTTGCCCCCAGATGCCGCTATCAGATGCCCTCGGTGCCTGTCCGACGTATTTTAAGTCCTCAACTTTCTCGTAGGCTCCTTGCCCCTCGCCCTGATAGCGCCACTGCCCAAGCCTTCAGACAAAGCGCGGATAAAAAGTTCTCCGGTTTCCGATTCTCGTTGTTTTCCCTTACACGATTCTCCAACAAAAACGCCGGGCCAAGTGCTTTCCAACTTCTTGTAGTTTCCATGTTAGAACCTCTAGACACAGTCCTCTCAAGTGCGTCTAGCGAAGCGTGTGTGTGCAAAGTCTAGTAAAGCACGTCTTTTTCTTTCAGGCGTTTACGTCTCCGCTTGATCCAAGTGTTGTTTTTTGATCTGCTCGATCTACATCCGTTTTTGACCCCACCTCACACCGTCCTCCTCAAAGCAAAGGTTTCCCACACCTTGGATTTCCAACAGCATCGCAGAGGAAGAACACTCACCAATCGGTCAAAAGATTCTACTGTGAACAAGGCAAATCACGCAAGTATTCGTGGGAAATGATTGTAAAAAAGATTGACAAGTGAACAGAACAGAACATGGACTACAGTCGAACGGAGTGCGAAGTGCTTGGTAGGAATTCCATGTATGGTTTTGCACTTCGGAAGTGAAGCGTGAGGAAAAGCATGCTGAGTGCCTGACTACCACAACCTAAGCAGAATAATTCTGATAACTTCTCATGCATCACCCGAAATCAGAAATACCCTCTGGTAAACTGTCACATAACTATGGAAAATCACCATGCTATCAATGGGTAAATCCACTATTTCAATGGCCATGGCTTCAATAGCTATCTATGTTTACCAGGCCGGGTAAATATTCATCCAGTCCTCTGAGATTCCCCACCATCGTCCTGTGGAGCTGTCGTATATCTACCCACCATACCCACCATGGCCGAGATTCTTCCTACTTTCTTCGGTCGCTCGTAGTCATTTTGAGTCATGCTCAGTGATATCAGTGATTCACGAGTCTATCAGTGATATCAGTGATATCTGACACACGAGTACCATGAAAAGCAGTTTCTGTGAACAATCCTGCACTCTAGCGGCAGTGGCATTGCTTCAGATGCTAAGAGCTTGAACCAGGTTTCCAGACGGTTGAAGAATTGATGGAATCTAGCCAATCTAGCTCATCTATTCTAACTGCTATCCTATGCCAATCTACATTTGACACAAATGAGACTTTGACACAGGGACGAGCAAAGTGTGGAAAAAAATGCATGGACTGTGTCAATCAAGTTTTCAGTCGCCAAGATGGCGGCTCACCAAGTTGTCTTCTTGAATCACCTGGACAGCGAAAACTCGAGAAGTAGATATGAACATATATGAACTATCTAGGATGGTACTGATTGGGGTCTGTCATGGAGCTTACTGATTTTGAGTAATGTTCACAACGAGGCCAATGCGAATCTCTTCGCAAACAGACCATGGGATTCGCTCACGGCCGTGCAGCGTCTCGAATCGGTCCAGATCTCAGGAGCTGGCGGCAGGTCCCGGCCTCAGACACGGCTCAATCAGCCGCTTCAAAAAGTTGCTCAATTGCAGAGGGCTTAAAATGGCAAAATGATGCAAAATGATGCAAAATGGACGTGCTGAAGCTGGGCAAATTCTCAGGTCAACATCTGTCAACTGTGCGACAGTCGGTGAGACAGTGAGTCAGCAGCTCGGACTCGCACTGATACCAGACGCCAGGGCTGCGAGTCTTGCGCCAGGCCTGGTCACAAAGTGATGGATTTGATCACTTGGGAAATGTTGGGAACAGGATCAACATGGATCAACTTTCTGACTTTATGAACTTGGGCATAATGGCATAGCTATGCATAGCAGGGGGAAACAGGTTTCATTAATGGACTTATGAAAGCTTCATGTCCTCTGTTTCTTCAAGATTCAGCCCGTCTCAGCTCACCCGCTCCACACGAGGCAGGATTTGCTCTCGCAAGTAGCTGTCTGCTGCTTCAGTGCCACTGAAAGGCAGCCAGGGCCTTCACACTGGACACTCAGAATTTGCCACTGCAAGTCACAGAAGTCACAGCTATGTTGCCACGGATAAATCCTCCAGATTAAGACGAGTTTAGCATTGCCGCATTCTAGACTTGTCCTCCTGTTCAAATTCGCGACACAACAGAGCCAAGTGCCAAGCACTTTCTTCGCATCAAAGTGTTGATCGTGAAGCACCAAGCCTTCCAAAGGTTGTTTGCCGCGGAACACATGATTTAAATTGACGCACTCTGACGTACCCATCGTACCCTCCAATGCATTGAAAGTGACACACAAAGTGCACAGCTGCCATGTACGGTGCCTGCTGCAGGTGCCACAAACTCGGACAAGTCCACGACACTCTTGGCTTCCAAGGCTTCGCGCAACCTCGCTGTCTCGCTGTCTCGGTGTCTCGGTGTCTACAGATTCGTTTTTTACCATCGGAACCATCGGAAGTCGAAATCGGCCGTTCACACCGTGTACACAGTCGACATCCACAAGTTGACCGCTCGAGTCACTCTTGGCATCTCTTGGCATCCCAGGCTCTGAGATTGGCAGAATGCCTCTTGCCACGGCGAAGCAGGATCCAACTACCAAGCGAACCTCGGATGAAACATTGCAACAATATGCAACAAGTTCAAACCATATTCCAACACTGCCAAGACAATCAGGAGGTTGTCGGCAACGAAAGCAAGACTCGGGTTCAGGGTCTGACCATGCTGTTCAGGAACCCTTCTCCAACCTCGAAACTTTTGGAAGCTGACAGGTGCAGCACGTGGCAGAACTTTTGCAGAACTTCAAGCATGCCCGGCTTACCATGCGAATGCACAAGAACTCCTCGGTGGAATCCACAGCTGTTATACTACCTGGCATCAGCTCGCACTCACCTCACATCGATTTCTGGCAAATGAAAGTCTTGCACTGCTAATATTGAAAGATATCGAAAGCAATACAACCTATAGCGAAATGGCTCGAAACTGCTGCGCTCTTCAGAAAGGTTGTGCACTCTGATTGAAATGCGGCAATGCTGAACGAATCTCAGGAGATCTCAGGAGATCTCAATTCAGGCCAAGTTGCCAAGCTCACGAATCGTCAACTCACGTCCTTCCTGGAGCAAATTAGAGCTAATTGCGATCACATCGATTCGGCAAAGCAAACAAAATGAACAGAAATTGAACAGAAATTGGAGAAGTTCGAGAAGTGGAATTTCAGCGGCTCTGTCTCCAACACTCGTATTTTGGTGTCTTGGCTCTCAGAGAGCTCCTCTGGCACCAACTGCAAGAGTGGATTCGTCGCAACGCGATTTTCAGGAGGATAGCCTGGGACGAGAAACACAAGAGATTTCTGACATTTTAGGATTTCTTTGTGCAATTTGTATCAATGTCTCTGATCGTCAAATGGAGCCCAAAAGAAAGCACTGAAAGCTCGTACCAATTGTCGACAGAAACAATTGGGCAAGGAATGCAACGAAACTTGTAACAAAACAACAGAACTTCTTTGTCCTCGTTCGCGTCTGCGCCGTCGATGACCAAAGAGCTCCCGAAGCCACCCTGAACGCGCCGTTCGATCACCATGTTCGAAAAACATTTCTCCAATGGAGAAATTCCTAAACCACCCTGTCTAATGTGCAGCACTAAGGTTTCTTCGTTTCTACTTGCAGTCGGGGTCCAAAAAAATTTTGCACAAAAGGTCTTGGCAGTTTTGTGCACAGCTGTTTCTCGAAACGTAGAATTTTCACAGAAGAGAAACTGTACACCCTAGTTTCCAGATGAGTCACAGCTGCAAATGATAGCTGCAAATGCACAACTTGCACTTCAAAATGTTTACAGTATATAAGTGTTTATTGTGTTTACAGTAATTGTTGTTGTTCCAAGTCAATTTGGTCGTTCCGCGGAATTGCACCCAGGCGGCTTTCTGTCTCTTGTGTGCGTCGGAGTTCTTGTTCCAAAGCATTGTAGTTTTCTGGCCTCGCATGCATTACCCAAGAAACCCCTTGAGTACCACAATTTGGGGCAACAGTTTTTTTCACTGGAGAAATGGAGAAATTGCGAATTTGCAAAAACATGAGAAGTTTAGACAAAGCTGAACAAGGCCCCAAAGATCACCAAAGCCATTTGTGGCTGATTCGATTCCTGCCTCGTGAAGTTCAAAAAAGGCCACCTGAAACTGTCGAAACCAGAAAAGTTCACTCAAAGCAATAAGTTTACACAAGTTTACAATAGTTTGATATCATTTGCGCATGAGCAAAAAAAGGTCTCGCTATCTGGGAGATCCTTGTAGGCATACGTCGAAGAGACGGCCGTATGGTTTCAATGTGCCAAAACATCCGCTCCAATACTTTTTCCATCCTTTCGTGTCTTGTGTCTGATGTCTTTCTTCCCAAAAATCTCAATCCTCATGGGGAAAACTGCCAGGCTACCGAGACACCCCGTCACAGTCGTTTGGAAATGAGAAACTGCTTTGGAAACTGCTTCGAATCAGTCCATCGGTTTCGCCCAAGCCAAGTAGGTCACTCGGTTGCCCAGCCGTCCCTGGCAACAACGCAGCGCAGCAGCCAGCCGACTCTCCACCTCAAACGAGATACATTGAGACATCGGGATATGCCCAGAGATACAATGGAAAAAGGCCAACACCCAACAGTGAGACCTAAAAAAATCCTATACAAAAACTGTATGAACTCACCACGATTCACCACGTATTAGATTTTAGAATTCAATGACCTGAGGACAAACCAGAAAACGACTGAGCCTCCACCATGATGAGACAGAAAGCAGGCACAAAGGCAAAAAAATATGATATCTATCAGATATGCAGTAACATGATGCAATATGCACGTGCAGAAAAATCTCAGTGAGATGCTCAACTTTTCCAAGTTGTAAAATCTGGCCCAACTTTTCGTTCCACAGTCGGCAGCGACACTGCCCAGTGCCTCCCGAGCCTCCCGAGACACTGAGCTCCCCCACTGCGAGGTCCACTTCGCCACGACACGGACCCACAAGAGACCTGCGTGCAATGCATCGGATGCGACAGGAATAACAGCACGTAAGAAGCCCCGTACACACACAGATCATCACAGATCTATCAAGAAGGCAGGCGCAATAGACATATGTTTCGCCTGTTGCAGCGAACTTGTGCTGCATGCATGTTGCAACCAAGTTGCCGCGGCAAGTAGTAGCCTGAGACATGGGAAGTTGTCTATTTTTTTCTCAAGTCACAGCCGGCGTTGTCAAGCTATATCCGTACTATATCCATTCATGGAGCTATGTGGAGGTGATATTGCCAAGTTTTCACCAAAACCCGCGAGGTAATCACAAAGCGGAGCTTCAGACATGTGAGAAAGGCTGACTGCCACAGAAACATCGGTACAGCATGGACCCCGGCGATACTCCCGAGCTTCGCAGGCAACTGGCACATCTGATGCGAAGGGGATGCGTACGACCTGTGCTGCGAGCAGAAGACAAGAGATACAAACGCAGACTCAGAACCATCAAACGCCTTTGAATCTGTCCTCTGCATAGAAAAGGGTGCGACTAAAAGAACGTGGCGCGGCAGTCACTTTTTAGGCAACAGGGTCAAAAAAACGATGTTTTTGCCCATCAGCGACTGCTTGATGTGGACAAGCCACGCAGGGACAATCAAGCTCTGAAAATACCACAAGATACCACAAGACAGAAATCAAACAAGAGTGAAAGGCCAAAGAATCGTTTAAACTGTCTCAAATCGGTTTGACTCCTTTGAGCTTCAACTCCACATGTACATAAGTCTCTACAAGGATTTGATGTTGCGTAGAAAGCAGATCAAGACTCAAATGTCTCAACGCAGGAAATGTGTGACATGTCCATGGCACCTCAAGGATGCGAAGGCTCTCCGGCAAGCGACGGTTCAAAGCTGCAGCGAGGCCAGGACAGGTGCCATCTGCCTCCAGATCTGAGGCCTTCGACGTCGGAGAACAACTTCAACACTCAGACTTTGAAAATACACATTACACATATATGAATCATATATGTTGATATTGAATTATACATATGTATATATACGTATAGTCATTTCTTGATATGTGTACACAATATGATATACTGTAATATAGTATGTATATACAGATAAGATGGATTCAAAATACATGAAATATTCGAAAGAAATAAAGGATGTCGTTTCTATATATTCATATATCGTGCATTTACAAGGCAAAATGCTCAGCCAACAGATTTTTTTTCATATCCATGCCTGCACACGCAATAGCGGAACCACCAGCCAGAAGCTTCGAGCATGTACACCTGCGGCGAAATCATGCCAGACGACGGCTGTCACTAGAACAACAAGCCGCCATGCCTGCATCTGTACGGCTGAGACCTCAGGAAACTGCTTGACCAACAAAATGTGTCTACATTTATTTAGTCCGAAAAGAGAGACATAGAGAGAGAGAGAGAGAAAAAAAAAAAGTACATAGGTCTGCTTCGACATTGAGCCTGCCACGTTGAAAAGGTGGCTTTTGCATAGCCGGAACGACACCAACCTCATCAGAAACCAACAGAAACTTCTCGTTTTGCTGTTTTTCATCAGGACTGAGACAGCTTTGCCAGCAAAGTTTGATGTGCGCATGACAAAATCTCATCCAAGGGTCTTGAAGCAGCGCGTTGCGCACGGCAACCTCCAGGATTTGGAGATCAAAAGCTTGAAAGATCTGAGCTGCAAAGGATTCAAAGGCGAATTGAGTGCAAGAACTTCCAATCACCAGATTTGTCGAAAAATGAATTCCGCAGTGCCTCTACAGATGCGTCGCTGCCCAAGGATCCACGAAAATCGTCGCCACAGAAGGCCAACTGGAGTGCAATGCTCGGCAAAGTTGAACTGCAACTCCAAGGTTCCGTTGGAACCAAGATCCAACTTTCCAAATTGTCCAAATGATGGATGTGAACAGTTCAGTCAAGTTAGATAAGTTCTCGCTCTTGGTTTTTCGAATGTTCTTTCCTGGAATCGGCAGAAGCTTCCGGTCCAGCCTGAATGGCAACCCGCGACTGAAACGCCTGAAGGCAGAGCTCAGAGCCACATCAAGTTGCATATATATAATGTGGGTAAAACAATGCCATAAACCACCCATTTGGGAATGGTTTATACCACCTATAAAAATGGTGATTTGGGGATGGTTTCTGACATTGTTTTACCCACATTAATTCGGATATGATCTTACAGGACTGTTGCACTGCAACGACAGGTTTTGCTTGAAGTTGCAACATGTTCTGAGCTCAAGAAATTGAGGGGAGCTACGCTTGACTTCAAGACTGGATTTCGCAAGTGAAAGAAATGCCAAAATGTCAAACTGATAGAATCTATGCTCAGCATGAGTCATGAGCAAACGGCAGCATCCAGCCAAACATACAGTACTCTGTTGCTATCCGTTAATTCGTACCCGGATCCACAGAAAATCGCCATCTGAATTCTTTTGGGTAGGCAATGTCTGAGACAAGTCTCACACATTTGGGCAGAGTCTTGAATTGTAAGTTGGATGTTCGAGTGTCTTTACACAAGGAGACCTTTCCAACATAAAATGTTGGCGAAATGTCTAGTCAGTAGTTCCAATTCTCCAGGAGAAAATGTATCCTGATTACCTCCGTTCTACTGGAAGATGAACGAAAATGCACTTCGGTTCGCATGGGTGGTCTGCATCCAGTTGCTTGGCCCTCAAGATTCACCGAGATTGGAAGCATCTGAAATCACCAAGCATTGTTCGTTTTGATGGCTCGTGGCATTCATTTCGACTGGTCTGAACAGTAGATATCTGATACAATCTGCTGTACCGTGTGAGTTTGCATTCTGTGATATACCGTTTCCGTATACCTTTTTTCCTCTTGAACTAAGCTCATGTCTTGCAAAACGCTCTTCTTGACCTATTAATTCTTCTTTTTTGATTCTTTTTTACTGAAACCTTCTGGGATTGAATGTCAATTTCGTCTGAAATAATTCCGAGTCCAAAATTATATTGAGAAACCTTTTAAATAAAATGTCCTTCAGCCATCTTCAGCCAAATCGTAGATTCGTGGCTCCTATTACAAGGCCCTTCTCTCGTCACCTGGATCATTTCATGTCCCCTGGATCTTTCAGCACTTGGATGAGTTACCCTCCAGTAAATTAACATAGACCCTGCCAAATAGGGGTTGGAAGACTAGTTCCACTATAAATTGGTCATTTTCAGGGTCTATGAGTCTATGTTAATTTACCAGAGGGTACCTATCAGAATCAACCATTGAAATTTCCCATAGCCGCAACCCTTCGAACAACTCGAACGCAGTTCCGCAGTTCCAAAACGCGGCCTCCAGTCGCTCCAAGTCCTTCTCGCGCTCCATACTTCCTGGCTTCCATGGCAATAGCAACCTCGAAGCTTCGTCGGAGTCCCCGACTAATGTCATGGCCATGCCCTGTTTCTCTCCAGATTTCTGGAAATGTTGGAAATACCCTCTGGTAATTTAACAGTGTTTGCTATTGAAAATTGCCATTTATAGTGGATTTACCCATTGATAGCATGGTGATTTTCCCAGCACACCAAGCACTTTTTTCATCTTTCATCGACTCAGATCCGAGCCCCATGGATTCCACACCGGCCACTTTCAAGGGCCCTTCCATGGCACCCTGGTTTTTGGCCAATGCCTTCGATGCACGGTTAAAAGCATGGTTAAAATCATGGTTAAAACCAGGCATGGCATGGTGTGTGTGTGTGTAAGGATCTATCATAATCAAACTCCTTTGACAATCTGAGAAAACCGTATATACGACATTTATGTTCTTGTACTTTTGCTCCTTAGGCTCCATGTGAAGGAGAAGAATCTTGACAAAATAGGAGGTTGTAGCGGTTGTAGACTGAGAAAAACATTGAGCGCGTGCAACTGAGTGCAAGAAACGTGGACAATGACCTACATGACTTTACGAAAAAGTGTTGGAGTAGGTCGCTCAGCAACATGCAAGCTGGAAACTGTCAAAATGATGGCCTTTTTGCCCATATCTTCAGCAGGTCTTATGCAGATCTTGCATCTGTCTTGTCTTGATTACCTGAGCACCTGACAGCACCTGCCAGTTCTCTGAAAAGCCCTTGGAAGCGGGCAACATTTTTGGGCACGCGACAGCCCACCTGGCGTCGCTTTAGTCCCAGTGACAAGAATGAAACCAGCATCGAAGAAGTCAAGCCCCGGAATCGCTTTAAAGTATGATGATTAGGGCATTCGCATGACTCCTCACAATGTTCTATATAATAAATATATATATATAATATAGTACTGTTTGCACAAAATGAAATGACATGTTTCTGCTGATCCATCTTGCCGGATACATTCTGCCTGCAGCAGGAGAGCCTTGTCGCCGGTGCACCACAGCGGTTCCGTCACCACCGGTAGCGGAGGCGCGTCCGGGAAGTCAGGGTCAGTCACCTGGCCCCAACTGGCTCTGGAAACATCTGGAAACGTGGCTGATCAAAGACAGAAGGGAACCGAATAAGTGGCAAGACATTTGAAAAGCGTGAAAAGCGTGAAAAGCCAGAGTCTTGTGAAGTTTTCTCTAAAATGTTCACACTTTTAAGATCTTTTTTCAGCATGTTTCTTATTGTTTCTTTGTTTCACCTTTTTTTCGCAAAAACGTGAAGAGTTCCTCGTGCATGTTCCTCGTTTTTTAATCAGGATCCAGAAACGATCGACTCATGGGGAAAATGTGCAAAAAACGTGTGCAATAATGTGTATATACAGTATATATACATATAGAGCACAATAATATCATAATTATAATATTAATTGTGTATGTATTCATGATATTTCAGTTCATATAGATGAGAATTACATGTCAGGTATGTATATATTATATATAGTAGTACATATAATACATAACTCGGCAAGCGCATGCAACAGCAACACGACGGAGTTCTCCGCGCCTGTACAACCACCAGATCTCGTGGCTTTGAAGGATGAAGTGCAACAGAGAGGACTTCCACCTGAGATCCAACAGGAAACGAAACTTCTCGGACTTATCGAAGATATTATATAAGCTTTAGAAATTACAAAGAAACTTGAAGAATATGTTTCTTGACATTTGAAGTCGTTTTGTTGATTTTGTTGGTTGTTTGTTGCTTTTGTCAAAGGAGCTCCAGCCCCAGAATTACAATATAATCCCGTGTGCTTCTGGTGCAAAAATATTGGCCGAATAGGCCTCATCTCATGACTTCTTTAATGTTTCGTTTCAACTTCCAACAAGGAAAGCACTGATCACTCTCCTAGCACCTTCAAGTTTCAATCTATACTGATAGATTTGGTGTTTCAGAGTCTTTCGGCTTGCCTCAGCAAGCAACTGCCGCTCCTTCACCTTCAATTTTGACTCTGCAAAGCCATGCAGCCATCATGACACTCAATGTTTTTATGACAATCAGGATTCAAAGTGTCTTAAGTTCCAGGAAAGGAAGTTGTGGCCAGACTCTTTGCAAAATCTAGCTGACTTTGCAGGCAATTTGTCTGATGTTAGTAAGTCAATAACCTCAACTTTCTCACGGCTTTCCTGCAAGAAAGAGAAGCCCGGGCAGAACGAACTAAGATTTGGAATCAGCATGAAATCAATCCATCCAGCCTGTGCTGTGCGTGAAAGCCGCCTGGCGCTGGTGACCATCGGTCAAATTTCGTAAACACCTAATGACCCTAATGCAGAAAGCTAATGCTCTCATGTAGCTCTCTCATCGACCTGGCTTGACAGTTTTGACATGTTTTGACAGTTGCAACAAACGTGAGAAGCATCCACCTTGCAACAAAGGCCGCAGATGCAGCCAGAACAGAATGAACAGAATGAAGGTGTCCTCCGTCAAGCAACATCATCACAAAGCGCATCAATCTGCAACAAAACAAATGGGCCACTTCTGTCAAGGATTCCGCCTGGAATTTGGACTCCGCACAGATGATGAGGACCGGCAGGACCTACGGTGACACGTGCCAAAATGCACCGAAAATGCAGAGACATGCAGAGACTATCAGATCTTTACCAAGAGCAATGCAGAGATTACATGAGATTTAGAAGAAATGTGGAAATCATTGTGAAAATCTGAAAAAAAAAACAGAAAATCCAGAAAATCCAGAAAATCTGAACAAAAGTGATGAAGATTCGAAAGTGGTCGCTCTGCGAAGTTGGTCGCCTAAAAGACTCCCATTCCCCGCAGCCTTGACGTGGACGACTTGGCCACGACGCTGTGGGTAGCGCTATCAACGGAGCTTGCAGCATCGCACGAATCAGGCGGTGGCTGTGGTGGCTGTGGTGGCTGCCAAGTGAAACTTCATGGAACTTCACAGCAAGGATGCCAGGATTCCACATCATTGGGAGAAACTGTTATGGAACTTCATTCCGTTGGTGTCTTGATGGCCGACATGAAATTCCACCCCTGACTTGCCAAACAAGTCGTCAGCGTCATCCAGTATGTTCCAGTCTGATGAACATGTTTCAAACATCGGATGGTGGAATCGGAAGATGTCCGATTCATGGTGCGTGTTGTGTTGTGACGGATGGCGACCTTGGCCATTTCCAGGGCACTTCAGTTTTTGGGACATCGTTCAGAACATGTTTCATTCCGGAACCCAGTTTTTACCCAGTTCGAATGTTCAGTTTTGACCCAGTTCCGTTCCCATATGTTCTCATGTCTTCGCTTTGACTTGGCTCACACTATTCTCAACTGGTTTGAGCACTATGTTGCAGGCGAAAAGAGTCAAATCCGGGTATGTTCTTCCCAGGCCCACAGGGCCTATCAAAGAATCAAATGATGACTTGCACTTGCTGCGTCATGCTGCTTCATGCATAAGATGTTTTGTTCCCTTGCATAGGGAACTGTTCATGTAGCCTCAGGCATCGTTGAAAAGAATGTAAGTGTGACATACTGTGATACTGTCTGATAGTATCCACATCTGTCCACATTCAAAAATGACAACTCCCTGCAGGCGAAGACGAAACTGTCCTTCGCATCCTCCTCCTGCACAATGACCAGCATGTGGAAACTCAATTCAAGTGCCCCACGCATGAATGCAACCAGTTGCGCATTCGATTCAGGCCAGGCATGTCAAGCAAACTTTCGAGAGCTTCTGACATGGACTTTTTTCGGCGACAAAGCGCTTGTGCCTCTCCTGTACTAAGGCCAAGCATGTCACTCTTGTGGCTCCAAAGCGTTTGGCCAGGGCATAAGCCATGCTGCAACATGCTGCAACAGAAGCATCTGGGCTCTGGAATCGACTTTGATGGACTTTGATGGACTTTGTACAATCTTCGTGCAATTTGCATCAATTTGCATCAATTTCTTTCATGTTTCCTCGCTTCTCAGAAGTCTTCGTCATCATCCACAGGGACATTGGAAGCCCAGGCCAAATCCAGCTCAGCTTGCCTTGCGTTGCTTTCAAGGTGGAAATCCGCAAGCAGGAGGTAGGCAAAATTTCGGAATACAAAGGCTTGCATTAAAAAGCTTCTCGCTTGGGTATGGCTCCAAATTGGTTACCTAAGAAATGATATATATATATAATTATACATTATACATAAAAGATGTGGTATACCGAATCATGCTACGTTTCTTGGAGTTGATGGCATTCGTTGCGTTGGTCCCGATGGACATCAACTGGCCTCCGCTGCATGCTGCTGGGTGCACTCGGAGTCCTGGGCAACGACGCCTGCTCGGAAGTGAGCCTGAAAATCACCAGCGGTTGGAATCTGGAGAACATGGAGAACTGACAAATTTCAGTTTGGAATAAAAAAACGAAAGTCTCCAGATTCCAACTGAAATTTGCAACTGAATTTTTTTCTACATTTTTTAAAGTTCACAACCAGAAAAAAAGTTTGCCGTTGCCTCAACTCCGTGTCGTTGAGGAGCCGCCGGGCCAGCCACAGGAGAGGCATCTCAATGTGCAGTCGATTCTTCCTGCAGCTCCAGCCGCTGATGGAAAATGTTGCAAATTCACAGCATTGCAGAGCACTAAATGTCACTAATTAATCACTCAGTAGTCACTAATTAGTTGTTTTAATCACTAAGTAGCCACTAATTATACTAATTAGTTGATTCTGTCGATATTTCGAAGTCAAGCCGCACGCTCAAGTCGTAGTATTGGACCTGCGGATTTCGACGTCTGGGCAGCTTCTTTCCAAAACCAGCATGGAAATCAATGCCTACACAGCTGCATGGCACGTTTCGAATCCTCTCTCGAAGCAAATTTGCCATGACTTGACGGAATTTCACAGCATTTCACACCTTCAACTTTCGCATCATCATGGAGCCTTCTTGTGCCTCACGAAAGTTCACATTTTGGACACATTTTGGACTTCAAGAGGACCAGAGTTCGCTTAAGGAAACCAGCACATTACCAGCACGTAACCAGCACGTAACCAGCGTCACCAGGTTGCGTGCCTTGACCACTCGCTGTGGGAGGTCCACTTTGTTTCCCACCACAACGATGGGGATCTCCCCCGTGACTTTGCGCAGGTCCGTCACCCATTGCGTGACGTTCCTGTGACTTTCTCGATTCGAGACCTAGGGCGAGCCAAGGGACTCCCTTGGGAGTCCCTTGGGAGTCCCTTGGGAGTCAAGGGAGTCAACCATAAGAGTCATGTGGTAGCCATGTGGTAGCCATGTGGTAGCCATGTAAAGCAAGGTTTTTGTCATCACAAATAGTTGCGATATGCCAGATATACGATGACACCATGGGACAAGACCGAGATTCACACGTCAAAGAAAACAATGGCACACTGGGAGCCTGGTCACAGGACAATCTGAGTGTCGAATGTGCTTTTCTGCAGCTGCAGTTTGAGATATGTTGAGATCAAGCACGCCAAAAAGTTTGTGTAAATTCTGCACCAAAACATCCAAGACAACGACATGTCAAGTGCCCCTGTGTGTTACTCTGGTGGATGCTAATGCATAATTTGCATAATGTACTCAACAGTTTTGTGACCGGTTGAACCACCTATGAAGTATCCGTCGCGGAGACCAGCCAGGTGTTCCTGCACAGGAAAATGATGGAAAATGAACCTTTCTGGAGTGGGATTTCCCATGGATTTCCTCCAAAACGCCATGATCCATCGATCCATCACCTACCATCGGATCAGAAACGTATCTGTCCGACCTGCCCAGCGCAGTCCCACACCGTGAAGAGCAAGGGGCCCTTGCCTATGGCATCATGGCATCTCTATGGCAACAAACAAAACATCACGAGCATAGCCACAAATGGTCATGGTAATGTCATGGCTTGAAAATGTTCTGGAGATGTTGGGAGACGTCTGGGACCACTCCATGCAAAAAAAGCTTGGGAAAATGAAGGGATTTCGGCTTTCAGGCCATGTCTTTGATGTCTTTAGAATTGTCAATTACCATCCAACACGCACAGTACGCACAGATTCAGATCGAAAAATGAGACGAAAACGAGACCATGCAGCCCAGTACACTTGTGGAGATCTTGAGCTTCTTCATTTCACAGCCCTGCACAGGAGCCAAAACAAATGTTTGGAACAGATTTAAGACCGTCAATGCCGTCACCCATTGTTCTTCCTTCCACGCGTCGATGTCTGAATCAATGTCTAAAGAGTCTAAAGCGCAAAATGATGCAAAAATGATGCAAAATGTCTTCAGCATTCTTAAGCGATGTGTCATTCTTGGCCTCTGTGGGTTGGTACCTCTTGACAAATTCGCCAGTAAGATGTCGCTTCACCTAGGGGAACTCACCAGTCATCATGGTCATCATGGCACCTGGAGTGGAGCATCAACTGTGATGCGACTCAGCTGCGAACGAAGCAAGTCTTGCCCACATTGCCGTCGCCCAGAAGAAGCAACTTGAACTGCGCCATCGACAGATTTCAACTCGTTCCTTCTATAGAACCACGACACTTGCTTCATGTCGTCTCAGGGACTGCATGGTTGGCTTGTGACAGCTTGATGAGCCTGTGACAACTTGCTTGCTCACTCCGTATAGATAGTATCTACAGAACTTCTCAAAACAAAAGATTAGAAGATTTCGAAGTACATGTACAGTACATAGCAAGACTAAGACAGTCAGACTAAGAAATGGCGACATCGCCTCAGGGCCGCCCATGTAGAACTCCTCTGGACCCTCGCGAAATTCAAATGGCAACGCGAATGGCAACGCGAATGGCAACGCGAAATGAAGCATGATGTCATGCTAATGTCCATTCTTAGTCGAGAATGCAAACTTTGCAAGTTTTCATCCCAAATATCCCAAGAATGGCATCACGCGATAAGTCAAGAACTCATATTATGACATCCTTACATGAAGCCCTGCACAACCTGCTAATGTATTCAAAACAGTTCAAAAGAAAATATTTGACTTCTATTACTTTCAAGAAAATTCCAACTACTGCTTTTCTGAATCGTAGATGCTTCTATCCTGTTGAGCAACTGGCGGGAACATGGAACCAGTGCAATGCCTCCTGGCCTGGGGTCTTGCCCGCTCACTTCGGACATGTTCCCACTCCTGAAGGAAGACTGCGAAGACCCGAGAACTAGAAACAACTTCGAAATATGGTGATTGCAAAGTCGTGTCACTCTTGATTTCCATTTCACATGTTGCAATTATGTGAGACTCACAGCTGATCTTGTCTTTTAAAACAACATAAAACAACCATGTTCCACCATATTTGACACCTGATTTGACACATTTGACACCTGCCTCGTGCTCGGGAGCCGCTGGCTGACGCGGAGCGCTAACTGCTGCCGGACGCTGACGCTCCAAGGCCTGCCGCTTGGCCGGTGGCTCCGAGCGCGCAGGGTCGCTGGGCTCGCTGGGCGGCCTCGACACCGGAGACACCGAGACCGACAAAGGAGACATCGACGGTGTCGACACCGTCGTGATGTTTGGAAAATTTTGGAAACTCCGTCGATGTCGACTGTCGACTCTTTGGGCTCTGCTCGTGACGTTTTGAAGTTCCGTTGAAAAAGTTGGGCATTCCAAATGTAGCGAAAGATGTGCAGCTAGGCAAGGAATTTCTGAAATGAAGGACTACTTGACTACTTCATACGATATGTTTTCAAAAACGCTAAAACATTTTGTTCAAAGACTTCGGCGAGCTGCAAAGGACTGATCCCCAGCCATCGACAAATGCCATTGCAGTATTATATCCATAACCTAGTACTAGATACCATCATATACCATTAAAATGATCAGTATGTTATTTACAAATATTACTGCAAGTTGTTTCACATTGTTTCACATGTGTCATCTTTTTCACAATTTACTCCCGCTTTGCTCCTGCCTCTTGGCAGAAAAGAGACTCCAAATCCGTGACAGCATGGCAGCCGGGCCGTGCGGACCAATCTGTCTCTGTCAATCGCTTTGCCGTGATGTGAACGAATGGCAAATGGGCAAATGAACGTGAAGACTTTGCAGGTCAAAAACTGAAGCGAAACCAAAAAAAACAATACGTTTTAATTTTTCGAGAAATTCGCCCGTTGAAATCACGCTTGCAAAATGAGTACATTTGTACAATTTATGCAAATGTAAGTCATTTCCGGATCTTCTGTCATGGCGCTAAAGACTGAAACATGCAATAACAGGGCCGAATCGCATGGAGCAGCTGTGGAGAAAACAACAAGAAGGTTGTAAATTCAAAGTCCAAATGGTTCTCTGAGTGCAAAACACATGTTTCCCACATGCCTCAGAAGTTGACCGAAGCAACTGCGCCACCGCCCTAAAAGTGGAAGCGGCCACTGCCTGCGGGATCCAACAAAGATAGGGAACCGCATAAAATGGGTCGATTTTCTCAACATCTCAGCCAAATTGATGAATGAAACTGCAGATCACCAAAGTAAGAGTATATAATTTACGTGTAGATATATAATGTTCACATGCAGTTAATAAACCATCCGCAATAAAGTACGCCAACTCCCAGACAAAAATTAATAAACCCCCCCGTAATAAAGTACGCCAACCGATTTTTGGTATGTTTTTTCGGTTTTTTTTCTGTTTTTTTCACCGATTTTTATGTTTTTTTTGTTTTTGTTTTCCATTTGTTCCCCGATTGTGTTTTTCCATTTTTTTTCCGATTGTTTTTTTGATTGTTTCTTGTTTTTTCAGGTAACCCTGAAGACCCTTAACATCTAAATAATGTCAGTTTGCAGTTTGCACCCCCCCAAATAAAGTATATGTTTTTTGGGGGGGGTATTAATACCATGTTGACATTAATAGATGCGTGTTTATGTCGACACATTTGTTTCCTGGGCCTCACGTGCAGACTCCGCGGCGGCCAAATGCGACTGCAAAACAAACAGGACCATCCCACAACAACCTCCTGCGATCCCCTGAAACACTAAATTCGACCAGAAAAATATGAGATTTACGTGGGGATCAACTCAATTTTGGGTCAAGTGTTGGAACACATCCCAAAAGTTCGATTGATGTGAACAATTGACATGTGTTCACCAAAAACATTCCGCATCGATTCATCCATCAAAACCGCTCTTCAACTCAGTTTTGGACTAAGTCGGTGAAGCAACTCGAAAGCTCCAGGAAGGGCCTGCGCAGAAAAACATGTGGTAATATGTAATTGTCACATCATTGAATAGGCAAACCTATGAAATGCAATGAAACCGCTAAGACATGTCTGCGGCCTGGGCAACTTTGGCTGTGTTTCAGCTATGCCCTCCATCGCCGCGTTCATTGAAATTGTTTTTCCAAATCGGTCGTGTCCGTCAGACAAAATGGGCACTCTTTGCAACACGCAACCTGGAGTTTCCAAACAACAGTTGCATTTTATATTTTTTACATATTTTTTACATATGACAACATTTTTCTCATATGTTTAGTGTGTTGTTTGTCGATGTTTGTCGTATTGGCAGCAACATTCGCAGCAATCTGCGGATGGCGAAATCACCGCGACAAAAGATTGGCGGAAAGCGCGACACAAAAAAATGCCATTGTTTGCTTGATGTTTTTAAAACACAGTACCCAATGAACACAAATTTCATCAGTTTTTCAATAAAATGATCTTGGCAAACCAAGAAAATGTTAGAAATTTTGACATGTTTACCATTGTTTACCGCGTTTGCTGATATAGGTTTGTAGCTACGACTGATTGAAACGTTGTCCCTAGTAATAGTGAAACCTGCATCTCCTGTCACATCGACTATTTACTGCATACTGCAAATCAACCAGGGCTGCACCCGGCAATGCCTGGTGGTTGTGCTACTGGTTTCGATTCATCTGGAAATGATCCAGATACTATTTGGGCAGTTGAAATGATTTAACCAAACAACTGTGTGGCACAAGAAAAATGAGGAGACAATCGTCAAAAGGGTTCCGGCCAAAAGAAAAAATGATAAAAAACGATTGTGTGATGTTGGTGATGATGACGATGATAATTGTGTTGGTGATAATGATACACACAAACACGCTCTACACAAAAACGATCTACACGAAGGTTTTTGGTTTTTACACGCACACAACCATTTACACGCAAACGTTTTTACACACACGAATTGTTCACACAGATTTTGTTGCACACAGATGTTTCCAAGCGCAGGTTTTTTTTACACGCGGAAACGTTTTACACTGAAATATTTTTCACAGGGGCATTTCTACACACATAAGTTTTACACACACCGAAATTTTCACGCACAGAAAGTTTTTTACACGGAAATATTTTTGTCATTTTGGCTCTTGTGTACACAGGGGGTTTTACACACAAAGTCACTATACCAGTAGTGCCCGCACGAGGCGGGGCGGAAGTTGCCTTAAAGATATATATAAGACCTTTCTCATCAAATTATAGAACTTGCATGCGCCGTGCGCCAGCCAAGCCCGTGCGTGCATGCACTCTGCGAAAGTGGTGTCCTGCTTCACATGTCACATTTGAAGCTCCACTTCGCACTTCACGCTTCACACTCCACACTTCACACTCCACACTCCACACTACACACTTCACACTGCACGCTTCCCACTGCACACTCCACACTTCACACTTCACACTTCACACTCCACACTTCACACTTCACAGTCCACACTTCACACTTCACACTCCACACTTCACACTTCACAGTCCACACTTCACACTTCACACTCACACTTCACACTCCACACTTCACACTGCACTCTTCACGCCCCACACTTCACACTGCACCCTTCACACTCCACACTTCATCTCATCTGAGCTCTTCTCACCTTATCCCAGCTCATCTCTTCTCATCTCCTCTCTTCTCATTTGTCATCTAAGCTTTCATGAATCACTTCCCAGCACTACTACTAAGGAACTTGCATGCGCCGTGCGCCAGCCAGGCCCGTGCGTGCGTGCTTGGTGCGAAACTGTTGCAGTGTTGCTGTCCAAGAACATGACCTGCGCACGGCCCCGGTACAATGCAAACACTTTCCTCACAGTTCACATTCCACTCTTCACACCCCACACTCCACACTTCACACTTCCACTTCATCTCAACTCATCTCATCTGAGCTCTTCTCATCTCATTCCATGTCTTCCCATATGTCAGCTAAGTTCTTCTTGGCTATTTTCATGTCAAGTACTCCCCAGTACTGATGTCTACTACAAAAGCTTGCAAAAACAACTTCCCAGTACTACTTTGCACTACAAAGCTTGCACAAAACACTTCCCAGTACTACTTTGTACTACAAGGCTTGCACAAAACACTTCCCAGCACTACTTTGTACCACAAAGCTTGCACAAAACACGTTCCAGTACTACTTTGTACTACAAAGTTTGCACAAAACACTTCCCAGTACTACTTTGTACTACAAAGCTTGCACAAAACACGTTCCAGTGCTACTTTGTACTACAAAGCTTGCACAAAACACTTCCCTGTACTACTTTGTACTACAAAGCTTGCACAAATCACTTCCCAGTACTACTTTGTACTACAAAGTTTGCACAAAACACTTCCCAGTACTACTTTGTACT